TTCAATTTAAGAACATTTACCCGTGTCTGGAAAAATATCAGAGTTTTCACTGTCCATATAAATATCACTTAAGCAGGCTCGTGGTGGGTTTTGACAGACTGTTTCCTAACTAAAACATATATAACATTACGAAATCCCGCGGAATTCATTACATTCCACCAATAAACTATTGTCAGTTTTTAGAATATTACATAATAGGTTTTCTATAATTCAATTAATCATTTAAATAGTCCAATGACATAACACTTCTTGAAATACTTCCACTGTGACAAAATCACAAATCATTATAAATTATATAAATATACACTCGAGTCATGCCAACAGGTCAAACAACGCTTATATAAACACAAATAATAGGAAAGATAATACTGTACTAGCTAATTGAAGCTTATTTCCTCCAAAAGAGTAAGCTGCTAATAATAATAAATACTGTTTAGTAATTATTAAAGAGTAAAATTAGGTTGGAAATCTCATTTATACATTATCTAGGTCCGGCCTGTACTGTAGATATTTATAATCACAACACCCAAACGTGGGACAAAAAAAACCCCGTGCTTAATCAAGCGGTTTGGTGGTTGCGTTATAAAAATTATATACCCGGTATCTTGATTAGTGAAATAGTCTATCGAAGCTTAGCACGAATTAGAATCTGTTACTCGGAAATTTATTACTTACACCTTGCTAGTATAACTGTAATTATATGTACAGTATTTGTATACCTGCATAGTTGATATACACGCTGAATTAATTTAAACTTGCATGACCGATTTTACTGAATATTAACTTTTATATCTATACATTTATCTAATCATGAATCTACTGCAAATATATAGATAACTTTAATTAATATCAATCAATAATATATACCACTTGTCAGCTTAAAAAGGATATTGATTTTTAATTCACTCCGGTGGCTCAGTGGGAAGGAGTACCGGCGATTAGATTTATTGGCATCTACCTCTGCTGGGGAACGTACCCGGCCACGAGTTGAAGGGAGCAACACACCTTTAATTCTTGACTGTGGCTCCTCTATCACCCTCACCCTCCTCACCCCTCATCACCCACAGGAGTCCATGGGTGGAGAGGGGAAGGGAGGGAGGGTGAGAGGAAGTCAGGGTGTCTGGCTGTGGTGTAGTACAGTAACTCTCGGCGCTTTCTCTCTCTCTGTCTCTCTCTCTCTGTCTCACTCTCTTTGTCTCATTCTCTTTCTTTGTCTCTCTCCCTGGCCTGTTCCTTTGACCTAGATATCCTGACTCATGTCTAATTAACCTATTCTCGTCTTCCAAACGTTTTATATCATGTAATATAAAAAAAATCTAAACTTTAGAATTTCTATAATAAAATATTTTAAAATTATATTAAATTCTTTGTTTTAATGTCGATAATATGTTCTTTCTCGTTAATCACGATATATCAGATTAGGCTTGTTAAAAAACGGGTGGAGACTGAAAAAAATATAATTATAGGCACGCTGACTGGTGTGTGTGTGTGTGTGTGTGTGTGTGTGTGTGTGTGTGTGTGTGTGTGTGTGTGTGTGTGATTATGAGTGACGTGTGTGAGGATGGTCGGGTAGTGGCTGCGACTAGTTCACATGTGTTACAGGTATACACAGGTGCAGCATTCGTAACAGGTGTGTGAGTTGACATGTTAGCATATCAGTGTTTTTCGTTGTTACATATCTTGGTTTTGGGTCTACTTGTCTTTCGGTTATTTTGGTCGAATTACTAACAAAAATATATTTATCTGAGTAAAAATTAAAATACCCCCCCCCCCCCTGGAAACACCTTAACTAGGCGAAATGGCGAGAAAAAAAAGACAATGCCTCCTAACGTTACATGGCGGGGTACAATAATTAATGCGAACATTTACACCAATCCAACACATCAAAATTATTTCCCAACAAATTCGAAAGTCTGTTGTATTAGTCATAAACGGGACTGACAATGTACAGTGCATTGTTTTTCTGCAATGACTATACACACGCTGCATGGTGTATACCTGCATTGTCTATAAACATGTTGAATCATTGTAAACTCGTATGACGATTTTACTAAATAAATCTGAACTGAGCTGATTATTTTGGCCCACAGTAGCGTATTTTTGTTGGCTCAGGTGTGTGTGTGTGTGTGTGTGAAAATGCTTAAGCTTCCATAAATGACAAAATTACAACACAAACAGGGTAGCCTCATGAAACCGACTCAAAATATCTGCAAATCAATCCAACGCGACCTATTCTTTCTCTATTTTCTCTCTTTCCCTTTCATTCCCAGGCTCTCTTTTTTTCATCGGCCCCACTAAATTCCCGCGGGGTTAGATTTGCGCAATAATAGGCTTAACGAAAGCCCAATTAATCCTGTCTCACCCTTATTTGACTCTCCCCTCCCTCCACCCTCTACACACACACACAAACGGAAACAAAACACATACCCATTTTTTTTAGATTGTTTCTAAAAAAAATAGAATGTTTATGAAAATTTGAAGGATGTTTCTGAAAAATTTGGAATGTTTTTGAAATTTTTAGAATGTTCCTGAAAAAAAATGAAAAAATTTAGAATGTTTCCGAAACTTTTTAATTGTTCCTGAAAAAAAAAGTTGTTTCTGAAAATATAGATTAATTCTGAAAAATTTGATGTTTCTGATAAAATAGAAACACCATCATCACGCAAACACGTACAAACTAAGTCATTCAAGAAAATTAAGGACTATCATGGTTTTTACCCAATTTCCTTCTAGCCCAGAGTATGTGGATGTTTTTTAATTGATTTTGACATTCGTTTCTTGCGGAAATGAGCCGTTTTTATGGGGAATCGAAAAACACCCAAAACTGGCTCATTTCCACAAGGAACGACGTTCGGAAGACTAAAAACACCAAAATACACGAGCAAAATAATTTCTCATACCAAAGGAGGCTAACCTCCAATTGCCATGTACAGTCAACAAAAAAATTCTGCACCTTTATGGTGTAATACAATATGACACACCTGACCAAGAATTCTGAAAACACTCATTTACTCGGGTGATTTCTGCTAATTTCTCTGTATTAACTATATGTGATATAAAAAATACATCATACTGGTTATACAATGCATCACACAACTAGAAATACCAACCTTACCAAATTAATGTGGCCTCAGTCAGTGATCTTTGTAGAGGCCATCAGACCAAGGGGAGCAGAACATTTTTTTGCTGACTGTACCTATCCAAGGGGAGGGGGGGGAGGGGAGGGGGGGGGGCGACCTAACCTCGTCTTTTTTTTATCCTCTTCACCACTGATCGGCTCGTTAGCCGCTTGGGCGATCGGTTACGTCTCTGCTACGCACTGTTGGCAAGTACTGGGCATGCACCGGCTCCTTAATGTACCCGAACCTGCTCCAGTGTTGGTCAAGTCTTGTCTTGAAAGAGCTCACACTCGGTGCCGTCACAACACTTTCTGGCAGATTGTTCCAAGAGTTCACAACCCTCATTCCGAAAAAGTTTGCCTTCACAGTCTAGTCTAGCCTAACCTAGCCTAGCCTAGCCTATTACCCTAAGAAAAACTATGCATTTGCCCCCAGGAAATGGCATAGAAAAAAACTCGAAATCTACGTAAAAGAGAATCGTAATAACAATGGGAAAAACTCCGAACACCTATTGGGATAAAAACGAACATTAACTAATTTAAGAACCAAACTGACTCTCAAGACTCTATCAGCTTCAAGAGTGCCTTATAGGAATGGCTGTTAAGGTTTCAATGCTACAACTTTGGTCGCACCAATAGCAGTAAGGAATCGTATCTTATGTCTCAAATTCTCAATGTGACGAAAAACATCATTAACCGAGACCAAATATAAAAAGGGTCGGAGTGTGTATGTTGACAACAAACTGAAGTTCTCGTATCAGTGTAAGAAAGTTAACCAAGTAAAAAAAAACTCGGCTACTAGGAGTTAAGCAAAGATCATTCACAGACCTAGATCATCATGGCCCGTGCCTCATACCGGTCTTCAAAAGTGAGGTGCTTCTCCGTTTGGAGTATACTGTCTGGTCCCTGAGATACAGGTATGCTAGACTCTCCTCGGTTGATCGAGAACACCCAAAACAGGGCCACCAATGGTGCCGGCCCTACACTTCAGCATCTGACGTATCATGGGAGATTAGAACGCTCTCAGGTGGGCAAAGAGTGATTTATAGACGCCCCAGGATATTATTATTCAGTCGAGTGTTTATATGTGGAGCTGGTGGATGTCCATCACACTAGAGGTTACAGCCTCAGGTTAAGGGGCCCATCCTCCCCATTTTGTAACTGGGTATGGACCTTTCCACTGCATTGTCAATTTGTTGTGAGAAGAAGAGAGTAGAATTAGAACCTGTCTCCTACCTTCAGCTTACGCTCTCTAGCATTTTTGTCAAAATATTTCTTATACGATTTGCTGTTGAATTCTGCGTTTACAGTCGCTATTCTAGTATTAATCCTCCAATCGTGATCTCAAATTAAGGACATACTGGTAAGTTGTTGTCATTTCCTTCCCCGAATCTTCTTTTGTCCACAAGTCATGTAAAATAGTTAGAGGACCGCGAACCTGACGTCCATAAAGAAATTCAAATGGTGAAAACTGCAAAGCATCACGTGGAATCTCACTATATGCAAGGAGAACTGACTAAATGTACCTGTCCCAATCTTGAGGTCTTTCTATGCAGAGTTTCTTCAACATGGCCTAAAAGAAGTCATAAGTTCAGAAAATTGGCAGGGCAAACTCTTTTGGAGTATAAGAACTGTGAACTTTTAGAATAGTCCGCCAGTGTTGTTGAGCCGACCAGTGGTGAAGTGGGTAAGATAAATGCACATTTCAAACGTGCTCTTAATTATTTTTACAAACTTCATTTTTTTTTTCAGTTACAAAATATCCACACTTAACTAAATCTAACCTAACAATTCTACGGTAGACTAGTTTTGGTTAATATATTTTGTCAACTGCAATTGCCTCTCACGAGAGGGACTAGAGTTCAGTTCTCACTTGGGCTGTAGCCGAGTGAGTTGTCCGACACGTGAATGTGGCAGGTTTTCTCTAGATATTTTAGGTTCCTCCAGCACTAACACAAGATCAATAGAATATTAATATCTAAATACACAAGGCTGACACTTTCGTACAGTACATTAAATTGAATTATTAGAAGAAAAAAAAATAATTTAGTTTGTGTTCGTGGTACCAAGTTAACATTTAATAAGTTGTATGTTTACTAAAGAGATCGGTTAAAGTTCCCACACAAACAGTGGTAGTTTAGCTGAACATTACCATATTCAACAACGGTGATTATCTACTAACTCCCTAGATAAAGTATATACAACCGGTTGATCATTTTAACCAAAGAAAAAAAACTTGGGTGTTGGTGGTAAGTATAACGTTAACTTAGAGGTGGATGATGGTGTAGCTCCCCAGTTACTGCTCTGTGGTGATTTCTGTGATAGTCAATGATATGTTCTTTACTTTATTGTTAATTATATGACGGGATCCATTACTGATACAAGTGTGACGTGCTGAGATTGTACAGCACTGAAAATGTTCTGGGTATGAGCAGTTTGATCAAAACACCATTGAAAGCTTGAGGTATGTTGAGATTACCCCTCAGAATAAAAGCTTAGGTCAGGTCAGGTCAGGTTAGGTTAGGTCAGATTAGGTTTTGATTGAACTGCACATGCCCTGACAATTTTCAGCCTGGTACAGTACAGCATGCCACACTGGTATGTTGATTTTCGTGGATAACCATAGAATATAAAGCTAGTAGAGGAACAAGGTATTAATATATATAGCTTTAGTTGTTAAGAGCTATATAAAGTGTAGCATTCTTGTCAACATTTGGAAGTTGAAGCCGATGAAGTACTTTACTGGGATTACTTTAATTTTTATATAATTTAGGGGGGGTTTCAGTTAATCATAGCCAGAATGTACCATTTTTGGAGTGTCAAAGTTGGTGCTCCACTGCCTAATCAGTTTTACCTATTGTAGTGACTGGAGGTGTTACTAGGCAGCAGTAAACTGACTAGGGTTCACTCTGACCTGCACCTGCTCAGTGAAGTTCATTTAAGTTACCATTTGATTGGATTGTGAATGTAAACTTTGGGCTATTCAAGGGTTGAACAAAATCTCATGAACCTTTATTGTGCTTTGCTTGCATTACCTTCATATTTATTTATTTTTGCTATTCCAAACTATTATATTCCAGTCAAACTTATGGTACAGTGCTGTACTTTATACATATGAATGTATGTTTCTTGACTACTGTATATTGTGTCGAAGAAAAGGTGAAGGGAACTTTTAGGTTTCTAGTACATTGCATAATAGTTTACTTTTTGGAATTTTTACCGGATTTTTTTTTGTAATGCCATGGCAAGGAAACAGCATATATATTTTTAATATTCTTAAAAAAATTAACAAGAACAATCACTGAACTATATCTCATTTTGTGAGAACAGATCACACATCAATTGCTTATTAATCCATTCCTGCTAAAATAAAACAATTCAGTGATTTTATATTTTAATTGCAGGATGGTGATTATAACCATTATACAGGGTGTTCCATAAATACCTTTCATAAATTGGGGAGTGTATTCCTGAGACATAACTAAAGATAAATGACTAAATTACCAAATTGTCAATTCTCAATAATTTCGAAGTTACAGCACATTACAGGTTTGGTAGGAATGTGATGAAACCTATATGAGGCATCGACTGTTGCTAGTGACGCTTGACAATAATAGTGCCATATGATATGTACTGGTATTAACATTTAGAGCAAATGTTCAAAGTTCCGCCCCCATTACTCAATTCGGACTTCAGCCCGTCGCGACGCACAAGTGACTGTCGCACACATTCAGCGACCCCTGGGGTGTTGTGAATGTTTCTCACACCGCCCTGCACATGGCGCCACAGTTCCTCACGGTTTGGGACCTCTGTAACATACACCTTGCTTTTTATGTGATTTCACAGGTTGAAATCAAGGGGTTTTGTCAGGTGACCGAGATGGTCATGAAACAGAGCCGCCGCACCCTATCCACCTTCCAAACCTGTCATGTGCTCTAACTCCAAAACTATTTAGATTTAACAATTTGGTCATTTAATCATTTATCTTTATGTATGTCTCAGAAATACACTCCCTGATTTATTAAAGGTATTTACGGAACACCCTGTATATACCATAACTTCACTTTAGTCAACGCACCACTCTCTGTCTAGACCTGGACTGTGTTTTGGCCTTTATACAATACATTTATACTTTTACCTTTTACTTTTATCCTCTTCACCACTGATCGGCACGTTAGCCGCTTGAGCAATCGGTCATGTCTCTGTTATGCACTGTTGGCAAGTACTGGACATGCACTGGCTCCTGAATGTACCTAAACCTGCTCCAGTGTTGGTCAATCTGGTCTTGAAAGAGCTCACACACACTCTGTGCCGTCACAACACTCGGACAGGTTGTTACACAAGTTCACAACTCTCACTCCGAAAAAGTTTGCCCTCACAGTTTTCTGGACTTGCGGCTGCTTCAACCTTGAGCTGTGACCTCTTGTGGGGGTGAGCATCCGCCAGCTCTAGGTAAGGACACTCGACTGAGTAGTGCACTTTGAGATGTTTATACACCTCAATTAGGTCCCCCCCTTGCCAGTCTGTAGTATAAGCTAGGCAATTGCAGGTGCTCTATTCTCTCAAGGTAGCTGAGGTGCAGGCACCAGTCTGGTGGCCCTCCTTTGGACATTTTCAATCAACTGACAGTCCCTAGCATACCTTGGGGACCAGACAGGGTGACAGTACTCCAGGCGGGGAAGCACCTCACTCTTGAAGATCGTTACGAGGGACGGACCGTTTAGATATCTGGGACAAACGATAAGCCTCCTTACCATTGATACGTCTCGGGTGCATCCTCTTACACTTCGTGACACTGAATCTTAGCAGCCATTTCTTCGACCATTCTTGAAGCACATAGAGATCCTTCTGCAGCTCTCCACAGTCTGCTTGGTTCTTAATTTCCCTAAATTACTTGGTGTCATCCGCAAACATTTGCATGGAGGAATGTACAGCGTCTGGCATGTCATTTATGAAGTAAACAAACAACAGCAGGCCCAATACACTGCCCTGCTTGTCACGGGTACACATGATGATTTCATGCCATTTATCACCATACACTGCTTACGATCATAGAGAAAGTCTCTGATCCACGCTAGGACACTTGCTCGAATCCCGTACCCTTCCAGTTTAATTTTCAGATTTTCTTGGGGTATATGCTGTCGAAAGCCTTGGCAAAACTTAGGTATACATTTTGTTGATATTACCATCCTGTTCCAGAATTTGGGTCCAAATACGCAGTACCTTGAGTAATTGTGTTAAACAGAAGCGTCTCGGCATAAAACCGTGTTGGCAATCCCTTACAAGGTTGTTTCATACTAATGTTCCATCATGGCATCTCTTATAATATTCTCAAGTACTTTACATACTATGCTGGTCAGGCTCACTAGTAGGCTCACTGGTCTATAATTATTCGTAGAGTGACGATCACCCTTCTTTAAAATAGGAGTCGCATAAGCCATTTTCCAATCACTGGGAACCTTTTGCTCATCCAGGCATTTGCAGAACTGGATCTTCAGGGGCTCGGCAAGCTCGTTGCTCAACTCTTTTAGCACTCTGGGTTGCACCATGTCAGGGCCAGGACTCTTACGAACCTTTAGCTTTGACAATTTATTTCTTAGAACCTCTTCTGAAAACACAATGTGGGTCAGCGCTGTGTCGAACTGTCTGTCCTCAAACGCAGGAAGATTGTGTGCATCCTCTCTTGTGAACACAGAGGAAGTGAAACTGTTCAATGCCTCTGCTTTGTCCTGGTCAGAATCTGCGTAACTACCATCTTCAAGCCTAAGATCTAATACTCCTACTCGCGTTTTTAATTTCGACTTTGCGTAGCAGTAAAACGCCTTTAGGTTTGACTTGACCTCGATTGCAATCAGCCTCTTGAACTCCTTTTCATCCCTTCTACACTCTGACTTTGCTTGGTTCCTGGAACTAACTAACATACATCCTCCTGTCCTACTCATCATCTGTCTTAACCCACATCGTGGACTTCTGGGTTATCTTCTGAACTTTGTCAACCACCGCATGGTTCATGTGTTGCAGTCTCTTGTAATATTTTTTTCTATAGAGCATTGAAAGAAAAGGTGTGTCCCATAGCCACAGTGTGTCTCTACAGAGAACACTTTTTAGTCAACCCACAATATTAACTTATGTAATCTTATACTGGCACTCACTATACTGTACCAAGGACAGGCTAAGATAGATTTGGTATCTCACTCTATATGTCTGCATATTTAAGAACAATATATAGACTTGCATATTGTGATTTTTAATGTGTGTTATTTCTTTCCAGGAAACAAAATAATGGTTTCATCAAGGACTTGACAAATTTGCAGGATGCACAGACTTAACAAACTGTGTCAGAGATGGGTGCTGGATGCAGTACTGACCCATCCTCCACCATTAGTGGCAGTCGTTCTAACAATTTTTTTTTCTGTCTTTGCTGTCGGCTTTTGGTGTGCTCATTGGCTGGTGAGTTTGTGGCCTATACAGCACAATATTTGTTCCAGATATTTTAATTTTGCTTAAATAACATGATATTATTCCAGTCAAACAACTGAAAGTCTAAATAGTTATAGATCTGTTATTTGTAGTTTTTAGGTACAGTATTACCAACAAGGGATTCAAGATTAATTTATTTAATTTCTGTTCTATTTATTTATGAATGATATTACAATACAATAGACTCGAAAATGTAAATTTGGTTTCCTAAAGGGTTCATATAAACCTGAAATTTTGGATATGCAAATATATAAAATATATATTGTACTGTACTGTAATGAAGAAAATAAAATCAGGTCCCCAAAACAGTTGAGACCACCCATTATAATAATTTTTACCACCTTTACTCTGTATTACAGCTCTTATAAAGCACCAGTTGTATGTTGATATCTTTAAAGGAATTTAAAAACCTTTAATAGTTGATAGAATGATTATTTAATGGATTTTCAATGTCATTTCTTCTTTTCAAACGAGGGCTAACCTTGCTACATGTGTACTGGCTCTCTATTATTACATGCACCTATTTCTCCACACTGCAAGGGGAGGTAATCTAAATATTTAACATCAGTCACAGTGGAGGAGAGTTATAGTGATATCCACTATTCAGGGCGGAATTAACATCAATCCCTCAGCAGCAGTGACATACAGTAGTGGAGAACTTAGTTAAAAATGTAGATTTGCTTAATATATTGTTGGTGAAATAACACCTACTATGTTGGCTTGCCAAATTTTTTAGTGTTGCTAATGTTTTTCCTCCTCTTCAGGATCAAGTTGACTTAGCAGCTTACAGATCACTTAATGTTTTCTCTGATAACATCAAAAATGAAAACCTGCTAGAAAAGTAAGTTTACTTTTGTAGTACGACTTTATTTATACTGTATTTTTCTTAATTTGTAATCTTCAGAGACAGTAATTTATAAAGAAGGTGATGTGGTACAGAATGAAATGCTTTTATACAGCAATTATAGTCTTGTACCTCATTTTAATAATAAATACATGTACAGGTAAATAGCAAAATTATGCACTGTCTTGTTTGCTTAAGAAATGCAGGTATAGTTTTGATGTTACGTGTATCTTAAATTTTTACATTGTTACATGATTAATGATTTATATGAAATGCATAATGATTGTTGGTAAAACTTTTGATTCGGATGCTTATAGCCAAAGTACATGTTTTCAGAATGTCCAGTGGCCTTCCCATCGACGTGGTGTATACATGGGTTAACGGGTCTGACCCAATTCTGTTGGAGGGACTGAAATCTCTGTCAGTGGCTAAGGAAGATGAATCGTGTTCACTCTCTCACTGTCTGCCAGCTCCATATATTAGCTTGCTGTAAGTGTTTGTACAGCTCTACAGTTTTATTTAGGTCCTGTTAATATTGAGTATTCTGTTACACTGTACAGTCTCACCCAAAAGTTTGTTAACTCCCAGCTAGCTATTGCTGCACTGCCTGCTTCAGATGTATGAACTTGAGTCTGTTACTTCGAACCTCTAGATTCATTCGTATCTGTTTCATGTTCTGGTTGGTACTGAGACAGTTTCAAACATCTGAAGCAGGCAGTGCAGCAATAGCTGGCTGGAAGAGTTAACAAATTTTTGGGTGATACTGTACCTATTTGCAGTACTGTACTATATTATAATAACTGTCCCAAAAATTAATTTATGTATGTTAAATTGATAAAATATTAAGAGAAATGAATGATTCAAGTACTGTACTAGAGAGCCCCAGAATGTATTAGAATGCAGATATGGAAGGCCCCATGTCCTTAGTGGTGTTTATACCCATATCAAGAATTATATACTGTACTGTATACTCAGACAAGGTAATTCTCAAACATAAAAGTGTAAGATTAAGATTAACATAAATAAAATATAATAGGGAAAGAGTCTTACTGCCAGGAGGCTTTATGCAGGGTTTCCCATTTTTGGGTGTTTGTAATATCCCGGGATACTGGGACAAAACCAGTCCCATCCCAGGATTTCCTGGTTTATATAAATAAGGGCACTTATGCACGAAAATTAATATAATAAGATTTCAAAACATGCGAAATATCTACTCCATATACTTTAGGCCACAGCTCCCCACTCTGCATTTCCCTCCATTTCTACATAAACAAAGAAGGTGTGAAACGGTCCACTTTTTAACGTAAGCCGTTTGACTCACCAGCCGACGCAATGTGAATGTGTATTTTTCTTGATCATGTGCAGTAAGAGTTAACGGTTGTAAGAGAGAAAATATTTGACAAGAAACATATTTGTAATATATTTTTTTGGCATTTGTCCCGGGAAATAATGTAAAGGTTCACCCTCTGGGATCCCGGTTGAGAAACCTTCATTTTATGGGATTAGATATTAGGTGCACAGTATTTCTCTTCATATCTAAGTTAATGTGTTAAGTCTATAGTACTGTCACCACCTTCAAATTACTGAACTTAAACTTGTACAGTACTTATACACTACTTTGATGTAAAATATCGGAATCATTGTTAAGAATGCTCTTTTTCATCATGCACAACTACATTTTATAGCATTACTGTATTTATCAAATGAGTATGGGGCTGTGTTTTGTGAACTGACTTGGAGTTTACCATTGTTTTATACCTGCAGTGTCTTTGTACATACTGAGCCAGTAAGAAGTTGTATATGTTTACTGATGAATAAATACTGGTATATCTCTGTTTAATATCACAATACATAACCTGAAATACTGATTAAGGTTTTAGAAAAAAGAAAAACCTCATTCAAGTCAAAGTTGTTGGGCAATCATGTAGCGTATCATTTGATTTATTATATTTTTTTCAGGGACTCGCCTCTCTCCAAGGCTGTAATAGAATTGATACCTTCCGTGATTGAAGTGGCACATATGTTAATTACACATAATCGTCATCCACACAACTTCACTCTGATTCGTGTGGCTGAAATGACTAGCATTCCTCAAGTGTTAGAAAAATTATCACGTGCTGCTGGAAATGGATCACAGCCCAAACAAGCTTACTGGACTTCGGGTACAGTTTATGTGCTATATTTTTAGATAACTTATTAACCAAGGACTAAAACTGGATTTTTAAGATATAATGCAGTAATACTTCCGTTAGCCAGATTCCCTCAAACCCGGAACTCTCAGATAGCCGGAATTAAAATTTTCTCGGAAAATCATTCCCAATGACGGAATTTTCCGAAAAATTCTGGCTTTGGGAACGATTTTGTGAGGGGCGCATTTTCCGGAAAAATTCAAGAAAATTTTCCCCATCCCCGGAAAATTCCGGGGATGGAGTTTTTTCCGGGTTTGAGAGATGAAAATCGGGTGCATTTTCAGGAAATCCGAGAAAATTTTTCCGTTACCCAGAAAATTCTGAGAATGAGGGATATTTTTCCGGGTTCGAGAGATGATGTATAATTGGCAATTTCTGGAACTTCCGAGATAATTTTTCCGGGGATGAGGGATTTTTATCTGGCTCTGAGAGAGTCGTCTCGTTACCCAGAAATCTCTCATTCCCAGAAGTGCTCTGCACCAATTGTTCCGGCTAACAGGGATATCACTTGTATACATTGGTTCAGTACCGGTACATTGTGCATCTGCAGGATTTATAGAATTTGAGATTTACTAAATATTTTGATGGTCCTCAAATTTGTGAATGAATTTCAACAGCTTAGAGTAATACCCGTAAGTGACCGTATTTTGACCGTATAATGAAATTGAATTGATTTGTTATTGATGTGAGGACAAAAGCTTCACTTTGTAATATTGTATTTAAATAAAAGTTGAGAATATGATTAAAGATGGTGGGGGGGGCATATTCTAGCTATATGTACTTGATGTCTAAGTCCTCTCCTGTTGCTTAATGCTGTTCATGTCTTCACTATCTCTCCACACCTCTTTATCCCTCTTCTAATTCTTTATAGAGAATCCTATTTGGCAAAATTTGAGAATTTAGTTTTGTAATTTTTTCTAACCCTTTTTCATGTCTTGGTATAGGGTGGGTGGAATTAAGCAACACGGACTCCTTCATTTTCTGTTATTAATTTGTTCTGCTACAGTGTCTTCTTCCTCAACAAGACCCAAACATTTCAATCATGTATCAGATAAAGTTAGGGTTAACATATAACATTGGATCCTGTATTGTGAAACTATTTTGTATGTGTGAAAGGAAGACTAACTGGAAATTATCAACTCATATAATGAATCAAATTGAAGTGCAAAGTGATCAGTATAAAATAGTTAGTATGGTAAAATTTTCACCTTTTTTATCACAGAATGAAAGTTGAATGAAAGTTTGCATGCTGTTTAAGTCTTTATGTAAGTAAGTTGATGACTCAAATTTGTATTAACAGTGCATTGCTATGAAGCATTTCATATCACTGTGTCACAGGCTTAGGATTCATGATACCCTGGTTACACATTCAAGTGAAGGATATACTGATGTATTGGTACATCTATCTGTTGCCTTTTTCCTTTCTACATTTGTCTTGTATCACTTTGCTTAACATTTTCCCTTTTCTGTGGACGCATGTAAATTAATCTCCTCTACACAAAATAATATATGGTATAGATAGACAGAGCTGATAATAGAGCTAAGGTTGTCATATAGATGAAAAATGGGGTGTATAAACAATTAAAGAATCTTGTTTGTGTGCAGATGTTGGTGGTGGGTGGGGGATGAAGCAGCAACACGCAGTATTGGTGACAGGTGGTGGCAATATTCCCCACAAAAACCTCTTAACCTCCCTGTTTCCTCAACAAGCAGCTATTACATCAACAGTGAGTATATTTATTTCCTTTAGCTTTACCTGTATTTATGTCTTTAGGATAACTTATGTTTTGACGTGCAATTAATCAATTTGTAATCTTCACTGATTTTTTTTCAAGAGATTTAGAGTTACTTAGGAAAGATGTGTTTTTCTGAGTGATACTTGATTTAAAAATAACTACAGTACTCTATATGTTTTTTTTTGTATTATATGTCTTAACCATTTTTAATAGTTCAGTGGCTTTTGATGTTCATTTGTTTTTATAATGAAAATCAAAGTGTATTGTACTTTTATTCCTTGATACAGTGCAATGTGTCTGGCTCCTCAAGTGTACATCTGCTAGAGTGTAAGGAAGAAGGACTCATCACCTATTTGTTGATGTCTAAAGCTCACACGGAGATTTTACCCGACACTGTAATTAAAATCCGACAAGCAATGTTAATGTTGCAGCCAGATAGGGAAGATCACATGAAGATAATAGATGCAAACAGATTCGAGGATAACGAGGTGAGAGTTTTATTTTGTAATGCATTAATTTGGAAATCTGTTGTTTTTACAGGCTATTGTTTTTTGGTTAATGTTCTGATTTGATCCTTGTGGGTGAAACAGAACTAAATCAATTGGATATATTGTGGAAGGAGAACACTTTGGTAGAATGCCACAGTTGCAGCAGCTAGAGAGAATGAAGAGTGAGTCTGTGTTGCTTTTGATTCCTGTGACCATGCATCAGTTATATGCTTGAGGTTCAGGAGAGAATAAACTTTGAATTACCTTTTAGTGTTTATATACAGTACAAGTCCTTTTATTCAAACTCATTGGGACCATTGATGGTTCGGATACTTGGACGTACCTACAAGAATATGCAATAATTTAACCTGCAGTGCCATACAAACACCTTATGTGTACAAACGGACACAAATATTAAAGATATATATTGTACTCATTTAAATATGGTATGTACAAAAGTTCCGTTAAACTGTTTAAATACTATACGACTATGGACAGATGTGGGAAGTGGTTTAATTGGTAATTGTAGAAGAAGTAACTGATTATTAAATATATCAGGGTATACACTACAATATTATTTATTAAGTGATGATAAATACTGTACACTTACAATATTATTTAATAAGTGCTGAAGGCAGATGGTGTGGTCAGCATGACAACATGGTGAGGGAAGTTGTTGACGATCAGCTGTTTACTTAATCATTGCACTTTATCCTCTATATTAAGAACATTTTGCTTCCGTTTCAATATTTTGTCACCCTTGTTATCAGCCACAGTTATAAGTTCACAAAAAGCTCACAATACTATACAAAAAAATGGCATGAAATTACAGCCAACACTTTCCACCATTCAAAATGGCCAGGACACTTGTAAACAAATGGTTACTGTACAGCGCGCGTACCTCTGGTGGCAGACGCATGAACAAATTCGGGTATGTTCAGATTGTTGGAGTAGACACACAAACATTTTTGGATGCGTACGGATAGATGGAATAAATTACAATTTTAACCAAACGGGAACAAAGTGGTGGACAAAATTTTGGACACCTGGAAGATTCGGATAAAAGGACTTTAACTGTAGCTTTGGGATCTATAACTTTTAAAAATACTATTTCACACATTGTCATAAAGCCTCATGACTTTTTTGTAAACATTTTATAGGAACTTCGATATTCATTGCGGTCGTTAGAGAAGTACGCTCCGTGGGTTAGAAGAATATTCCTAGTGACAAATGGACAGATTCCCTATTGGCTTAACCTGGATCATCCACGACTTACTATCATAACGCACGAAGAAATATTCACAAACATCAGCCACCTTCCCACTTTTTCGTCGCCAGCAATTGAAAGTCACATTCACAAGTAAGGATTTTTAAAGTCTGTGATGAAATATTTATAAAGCATATTTATAGCATACTCTTCATGTGTGGGTTGAGACACCATAATATACAGGGTCATATTTTTATTCAAGAACCCTAAATGATTACTATATTTTATGACTTGCAATACAGTAAACAGGAACTTAAAAATCAATAGGAATAAAGTCTGATCTTTACTTCACAATACTATGATCAGATTTTATTCCTCCTCATATTTAGGTTCCTGTTTATCCCACATCCTGAAATATAGTACAGTAATAATTTAAAGTTCTCGAATAACAAAACTGAGCCTGTATGATAATGTTCCATCATGTCACATATCTGAACCTGAACTGTACTGTGTATGTAAATCTGCAATCGTTTCAAAATTTCTGAATAAAGCGTTTGATTATGTCTTGTAGAATTCCTGGATTATCAGAACACTTCCTGTACCTAAACGATGATGTGATGCTTGGCTCAGTGGTCTGGCCTGAGGACTTCTATTCCCCAGCATCTGGTTATAAGGTAATGATTTAAAACTACTGTACTGTACTACTTATTGAATGTGTCCCAGACTGTACTGTAGATTGACTAACTGTAGTGTAAATATTATAACTCGATCTAATATTTTTAAGTAATTTTATATTTGTATCGGACTTTATAAATACTGTTTGGATGTTTTCTGTACTAGAGTTTATATTATTGTCAGTATTATTAGCGACTGGATTATTTTGAATGTTATTGAAGGAGAAGCATAGGGGTTGCATTTTGTTGTTGAATAGAATGAAGAATCAAGATTTTAGAATAATTTTACACGAAAAGTAAAAAAAAAAAATGTATGTTAGGCAAAATAGGTTAAAGATATTGGAGAGAAAGATTCACCAGCAGCTGTAAGAAGGAAGAAAGTCAAGACAAGGTTGCCAGCATTTGATAAACCATGACAATTTATTTATTTATTATGTTTCCAGGTGTACCTATCTTGGTCCCTACCCGAATGTTCATCAGGATGTCCCGGCTCGTGGCTGGGAGATGGCTACTGTGACACATCTTGCAACACGACAGCCTGTGAATGGGATGGTGGGGACTGCATGGGAGAGAAGGGGGAAGGAGATTTGCTAGACTTTGGCGATGAATATGGCGTCGATGTATCTGTCGAGTTCTGTGCTCCCTCGTGTTCGGATCTTTGGTTGGCCGATAAATACTGTGACCAGGTGAATTTTGTGCTGATGGAGGAGAATGAGGAGGAAGAGATGCTATAAACTTTGTATTATATTGTGTTTTTAATTCAATCTTTATTCTACCACTGTTCTATATATTGATTCCTGCTCTCCTACTATGGCATGTACGGTCTCCAAGCTCTCCTTCTTTGTATAAAACTGTAAACTTCTCCTTGTTAAGACTCTTATCATCCCTACACACCTCATACTCTGTCTTGGTAAGAAATTGTAGACAGAACTAATAGATAGCTAGTAATAATAAGTGTGATTTGAGTAATGAAATAATATGAATCTTTTTACCATTGTTAAACAAGTCTCATTTGTTCCAGTCATGCAATATACAAGCTTGCGGTTTTGATGGAGGGGACTGTGGATTGGACGAGATCAAGGAGCTGTATAGTTTGCCTGCCCCCACATCATACAATGTTACTTACGTACTTCCTATGGGTGAGTGAATGGGCGTTACCTCCAGTGTGACTCATACTACCATTGTGTTAGAACATGTTAGCATTCCAGTTTGACTTGTATTATTATTATGTTTTAACTTTTGGAAAATATGAGATTATTTAGGCTGAAAAGTATCTACATCTGAAATTACTTATGCCGACAAATATCTTCATCCTAGGTGTGAGCGTCGCGTGGCTTAACGTCTCGTCGCTGTTAGCCTCCGGGAAAGCGATAGAAGGCTGGCACTCTGAGCACCGAGGCCTACGCAGCATTGCCCTCAACGTGGCTCAGGGTGTACTCTTTATTATCCTCAAAACAAACATTACGGCTACATTGAAGATCGAGTTGGATATTAAAAACAAGAACCAGGAAGAAAAGTCTGATAAGAAGAGAGATCTAGTTAAGGTAAGAAGAGGGAATGTCTAAAATAATGAGAAAAATAGTTGTGAAGGTCTAAATGTTGGAGAAGATGTATACTATAAAAATTTGTGAGAGAAATTAAAAGAAAAGAGATGAATGAAATATAAAGGAGATAATAATGTTTGTGTGGAGAGAGATTGAGTATGAAAGAAGAGACACGTAATGAAAACTAGAGGAAGGCATAGTAATGTTTGTTTCTTATTTTCCAGTATGTGCTCACGATGAAATGCAACACATATCCCGCTGACAAGAACGCGACCACCAAGCCTGAACACAAAATTACTTCAAAGCACACTGTAAACTTCAAAAACTTCACATTTCATCAGGTGGCCCCAAAGCTGAAAGTAAATGAATCTGTACAAATTAAACCTAGTGGAATGAAGTATGCACTTGTCAATGTAAATGCTTCAGGTCTTCCAGAATCTCTTGTAACAAAAGTTCATGTTTTGGAAACCATGTATAAAAATGGAGAGCTTACCTTAATGGGATTAAATAAAAAGAAATCAGATCTCATAGAAAAGTTTTTGAAGACCAGTTCTAATCCTAAATTAGTGTATCACCAAAAGAGTGAATGGTTCAAGAAAGAAATTCTTTACCATAGTGAGATGAAAGTAAAGAATGACTCTTCACTTAAAAATGAAGACCTTAAACTTAATGACAAAAATAACAATAAACGGCCTCTTGTATTACCCAAGATTCACAGTGAAACATCAAATGCCAGTAAAAAGACTGCCTCCAGATCTCTCTTATGGGCCGATAGAAATGAACCACACGATGTAGAGCAGTTGAATGTTGACAAAGATAAACAAACGAACCTGTTATCTCCCCAAAGAACTATGGAAAATAACATTTTAAAGCCTGTGACACAAGGAGTGACGAAGGACAATGGAAGTTTAGCGACATATAAGGGAAAGTTTCCCTGGGAGAAACAAGAGGTGTTTAAAGACGTGACTTCTATAACTATGAGAGAACCGGGCGATTACGCTGTGCCACACGTTGGCCACCGACGTCTTCTGGATATGTTTGCCGAGTCTTTGCTTCACGTTAATCGTCTCTATAATTCTGAATACGGTTATCAGGCTCGAAGGGTTCCTGCTCACATGCCACATCTCATCAGCAAAAAAATAATGGAGAATTTACAAGACAGGTACTGTATATGTGTGTACCAAGTAATGTGGGGATACACTGTCACGAAGAAAACATTACAGTAATTTTTTCTTAATTTTTACATTCATTTATGTACACTTTATGAAGAATTTTGAGGTTGTTTTAAGATAATAATTCTTATATTGTGTTAATCTTTTAAAATGTTTGCCAAAATCTGTATAAGAATAGATATGTATCTTAACATTAGTTTAATATGACTAACACTAATTAACCTTCTTCATAGTTATCTTCAACATAAAACATTTTACAGCACAGTATATACACAATTATACTTGTATCTCTAAAGACTTGAATGTTTAGTCTTTCTCTGTGACAATATATGAGTGAATTAGTCTAAGCAATATTGATTTATTCATTTTATTATTTGAGTTGTCCACTACTGTAAGATCTACCCTTAAAGTATTCTTAGTATACAATTAAGTTTTACTAGATAATAATAGTACAGTACTTGTCATCTACAGGTATCATAATTATTAAAAAGAATACTGTTTGTGAATGAGTGGACAACAGGATACCGAGTGCCTTTTGGGAAGGTCGTTCTGATGTTGGGTGGTGTCGAGTTGTGGGAAGTGAAGAGGTAGAACATGTTTGGGCCTTGTGGTAGGGGAGCACCGCAGTAGAACACATCTTTTATAACAGTAAGAATGACTTAATGACAATGAATGAAGGGAAAAATTTGTGTGTGTCTAGTGTGGTGTGTGCGTGCTCTCTGATCACCCTGCAATAAGTGGGAACAACCTTGCTTTACAGATTAGATACATACAGTACTTATGATAATACTTATGTACAGTACCTAGAATTACTGACAATCTTTGTAATTACAGATTTAAGGAAGAGTATCAGCTGACATCCTTTCACAAGATCAGACAGGCAAATGATATGCAGTATGCGTTCTCATATTTTTTCTTCCTAATGAGTGAGAAGATTACCAGAACCCCAGCAGAAGTGTTTGCTGTCTTTGATACAGATGATTCAGGGTTAGTATCTAAATGGTTACCTATGCTAGCTTAAATTATCCACGTATTTTCATCATGCATACTGCTGGCGGGTGATGTTGGTATGTGTGAAGCAACTGGCGTACCGTAAATAAAATTTTGGGTCTTGTGGAAGGGGAGTACCAGGGAAGAACATATATATTTGTACAGCATTAAGAAAAAATACTAACATAAAGAAAGAGAAAATATTTGTGTATGGGAATTAGGTCTTGTTACCTTACTTTTAGTGGTGAAGCCTTGAAAGAGCAAAAAAACAGATATATATTTGCATTTTATAAACTTAGAATAAAAGCAACACTACGTATTACAATTACTATCTCAAAATTTCCTTGCTTAATGATTATAATATGATGTTGCTTCATAACACAGTTTTTATTATAGTAATTATGCATATAAATCACTGTAGGTGCGCGTGATCCATGCATATACTGATAACCACATGGGAAAAAAGAAAACACGATTTTCAAGTGCTTTCGTGTATTTTACTGCTGAAGATGTGAAATATACTAAAACTCTTAAGAGATTTGCATTTTTTCCTATGTGGTTATCAGCATATGCATTTAGAAGTGATATTTAAACTGTTGCAGGGCTTTACTGTTAAGAGCATCTATAGAACAACCCAGGTGCTTCCTTCAATAAATAATCTTACTGTAGTTCCCCCCAAAAGACATAACAAGTATAAGCTCACTGTAGTTCCCCCCCAAAAGACATAAGTTTTCTGTCATTTTGCAAACCATTAATAATATATATCTATTGTTTTTACTCCTCTCACTTTTGTGTGGGCTAGATCAAGGGGTACAGATTCCTCAAGATTAGGGAGGACTTAGGGAGATTGGTGGTGTAAGAGAAGTAGAGAAAACAATAGGAAAAGACTAAAATAAGTAGATATTACTCATTGAATTTCCTCACTCTTGTCTCTAAACAATTCTTCTCCCTTTATGTTTAAGTTAGTGTGTACATAATTAATGTTTCTCATCCTTACAGCACTCTGTCAGACCGAGAGATCCGAACACTAATGACTCATCTAAACGACCTCCCACTTCACTACAGTACTCTACAGGCTCTGCATCAAGTAATCAAAAATTGTTCTGCCACTCATCACATTGAACAAGTGCCAACCCCAATCTATGAAAGATATGCCGATTCTGATTTGGTGAGTTTTTGTTTTTATATTACACTTGAAATGACCACCGACACATTGTTTACCTGCGTTGTCCATCCACCCATGTGTCTGTCTCACTGACCAGCAACACCTGATGGGTATCTACTGAAGGTCATGCATACAGTGGAGAGGAGAACATATTGTACATGTTGTAAGGTCTATTTTGTTGTGGTAATGGTTGTTATGTGTCACCTCATTAAGATCACTTCCTTGGGACATCAATGTTCCACAAAATAGTTATATCTTAAGTGTTAATAATTAAATGGGGATGAAATATTTGTTTTTTTTTCTTCAGATTATTGACTTCAAGCCAGAACAAACACAGGTTCTCCTTACAGTCACTGCCATGAGTTCATTCTTACTCCTATAACAACTGTACTAGTGTATCTGGTTTACTGTCACTTAATACACAACCTAGCTTCACCCACCAGCAGTACAGTATGTCCACCCCCAAAAACCACCCCATGCTCTTCGGTCATCAAGCACAGTGCTGCTTCCTAGATGTTCAATCCTAAAACCAAGACATCCACTCCACTTTATCTCATCATCATTATAACTAATCTTTTTGTTATTTTTCATATAATATACAGAATATTGTACAAAAACATTGAGTTAATCACACAATTTCTATTAAGTATAAAGGGTGTATATGAAGAATGTAAATATCCACTTTGTATTTCAGTCAACTGTGAGCTTGGACCTGGTACTGAAGTGTGAGCCATTAACAACCCTCCTGAAGAAATTAGAGAAAGTCCACAAATACAAATACAATCACCAGTCTGACGATGTCATTCACTTCAAGATGGTTACGTCTAATGTTTCCATCGTGGTGCACATGTTAGATGAAGTACGGAAAAACCCAAGGTCAGTATTTTTGTACTGCAGGACCAATGATGGTTTGGATACCTGGACATGCCTACAAGAACATGCAATAATTAATGTTAGGTCAGAAGGTGGCTTAGCATAGCTTGACTCACAGGGAAGGGGTAAAAACTGGGGATGAGGTGGCCCGTGTGTTGGCATTTTGCCATTGTTACATGTAATAAAACTATAAAAGTAGTGGAATAATCATTACAATACTCTAATGCATCTTAGAAATAAAGAAAATATAATAATAAACTATAAAATAAGAAAAATGAAGAACATAGGTGTTTATATGTGGAAAGTGAATATATGCAGGGACTCGTGGAGGCAATGGGCTGTAACTATGTCACCGACTCGCCACCCACCTGACTCGCACTCCCTCCCCCAATATAACGTCATGGCGCGCGCGCACACACACACACGTCTGAGTCACTGGGGTGATTTCCCAGCTGAACTGTGTGACGTCGTCCAGGGGATAGTTTGAATGTGGAAGGAGTTATTTTTGTAAATAAAATACAGGGTATGTGCTATTGTATTTTATGATAGGCAAAGTACTCTATCAATTTTATTGTTTATCATAGTATGAAATTATAGCCAAAATCTTCCCCAACCAAAAAGCCCAACAACCTTGTAAACAAAGTGGTTACAGCACCACTGGTGGCGGATACCTGGAAGATTTGGACAGTTGCAATTCGGATAAAAGGAATCGCACTGCATGTTTTTCCTTTTAACTTGTGGTTCTGATATGTTAATCTGTGTTCATTAAGGATCCTTCAAGCTTTATGGAGTAGATTTATCCTCCTTCAAGATTCTAGTTTCTTTATACACCTCTTAATTTACCAGCATTACATTTATAACATGGGGAGGCATATACTGTACTGTATTATTGACTACAGTGAACCCTCGAAGATCCGGACTAAAGGGGGGACCACCTGTCTGGAAAAGCCGATTATCCGAATCTTCTGGCAAATGTACTAAATGTATAAAAACGTTAAATAATAATATAAAAAAAAAAACACACACCAAAAAATACAGTACAGTACTATTATCCTGACTAGGGGGGTTACTTATACACACTTTTTCCTGTGAAAAAGCCATAATTTTGAGCAACATTTTACTGTACTCATTTGTATTCAATATATCATGTACTACACTAAAGGACTAAAAATTTTATATATTTTTTTTTTGCAAACTATGTAATGTCTATAGTATATACTCAAATTATTCGCTATCTTGCAAGGATTCCAGCAATGCAAGTTATATCTTGCTAATTTTAGTATGTGACATTTAATAAGATAAAAACTTTAAGCCTAAAACTACCTTCACCCTGTTTTGGGAATACTTCTTTGGGAGGCTCCTTAGCCCACAACCCCCCAATTTTTTGTCCAAATCTTCCGAAATCCAGATTTATTGGGTCCAAATCTTCGAGGGTTTACTGTACTGTATTTAGATTAATTCAGTATTTTGTTTAAGCAATGTTTTGTTACATACTGTATAAAATTTATACTATTTGCCACTAAAATGAAGAAAGAATTTTTTACTGTTTGACCTTGAAATTAGAAAGAGTAAGATTTGCTGTATGAAGTAATTTGTATATTCACGATTTTGGTCACTATTGTACATGAAAGTGGAAGAGAGAAATAAATTAAACACATAAGACTAATTCTTACCTAACACTTTCTTTACTTCTTCAGGAAATTCATATGTTTGAACAGTAACCTGGACCCAAGAAGTAAAGAGAATGACCTGATTCACGCCCTCGTCCAGGATACTTACGAGTCACTATTCCCTGTGCCTTCCTCGTTCGAGTTACCAATAAACTATCGCAACCGGTTCCTGTATGTTCAAGAATTACATGCGTGGAGGAAGTGGAGGGATCTCATACGTGCTCTGATCTATGCCTGTCTGGCCTCATTAATATTTCTTACACTTATCAACTTCTTCAGTTCAGAGGTATGCAAAAACAAATATTTCCGAAAGAACCTTTTTGACAATTTAATCCCAGTTCTTTTTTTCCCATTTAATCTTTATTAGCATAAAGATAATGGAGCAAAAATATTAATTACTGTATTAATATTGAGTTTATTTTTGGCTATTCTTCTTTTAATTAGTCTAGGATTGAAGGTTTTTCTTGCTCCTGTAGGCAGAACTGTGTTACTAATTTAGGTACAATTGTGGAAATAATTCCTATCAGTCCTCCGTCCCATCCATGAACCCTGAGACTTGTGAACCAGTAAATACGAGGCATCACACAGTGCACCATCTATGGGCCCAACAATGTGTGATGCCTCCGAGTCTCAGGGTTCATGGATGGGGCGGAGGAGCGACAGGACTTTCTTCCGTTACTGTACCTGCTTAATGTTCTAAAACTTATACATTACCGATCCACTCTACGTTCTTTCACGGTTTACATGCCAAACACAAAACACCTGTTAGTAGAGGATTCACTTGATCCAAATATCATCTCCAACTACTGTACTTCAAACCAGCTTTAAAGCTTACTTCTAATTTTGATTATGTGATCTTTTTTGCAGCTTGAAGGCATTCGTAGAAGATGGTGCAGAAAGCGAAGACGGAGAGATGGATTTGGAGGTGTAAGGGTATGAGAGACATGTTGGCATAACCACTTAAAATATTGAAGAAGTTAGGATTTTACACTGAAATTATCGAAAAACAAAACATTTATAGTACAGTACTTGACAAGCCACGGTACTGTCCAGGGTGTATGGGTGACCCAAGTGTTTTCCGCAATTATATTATCTGTACAGTATTAGTATTTGAGGATAGTATGAACATTTTGGCTCCATTTACCCAGCCATATTAATGCTTTACCACACTGATTAACCCACGTATGAGAATTTTTCCCCCTCGGGCAGCTTGTGTGGCAATGCTGGACGTATGATTAATGCTCTCACGATACATAACTGTGACTAATTCTTGATCACTTTTTATCATCTGTTTGGTTATGATGAAGGCATCAGCTTTTTATGATCTTGTGGACATAGTGTCAGGTTTACTCCACATTAAAGAGGAGTGAAAATCTTACCAACTTTGTAAAAAATTATATCGACATATATCAAAACTCTTATTTGAATTTGCTTTATGTGATATGAAAGAAAAAATTATGTACCTGTGATTTGAGCGCATTCCCTGACTTTCACAGTACTGTATTGAAAGATATTACAGAACATTATCTGAAATATTTTTCTTTGTAAATGGCACTAGAAGTTACTTTAGTGTACAGTGAAGAGGGTGAGATGTGAGCAGCTCCAACATTATGCATTCCATATTATGCATATTTTTGCATTTTTATATGAATTATTATTTTTATTTTTAAAATTATACAGGTCATATTGTCCACATTTTAATTATTTTTTTACTTAAAAATTTTATAAAATTTTGTTTGACTGTAAACAAATTTAATGGTTTAATATATTTTAGGCAATATTTTATTTATTTATTATTTAATAATGGAGTAATCCGTAAAATGGTGATGGTAATGATGGGTATGAGTGAACCATCTGAGGGTTGGTTGTGAAGTATCGGGTACACTCAGACCAAGGAACACCTGGGACATGAAACACAGGTACCAAGTAGATTCTTGAATTTGTTTAATTTATAGCAAAGAAATAGTTATGATATTTACCAGTCTCTGCACATGACAAATGCCTGGTAAAATAAGGTCCAATCCTAACAGATCCAGTCTTAGTGGGCCTCAAACAAACCTAATGCAGACACTCCCTGGGTTACAGAACACTTGGTTTACAGAAATTTGAGGATCCAGATTGCCTCCCTCAAGTCCCATTATACAAATTTTCAGGATGCGCAGAGAATTTCTGTTATTATGGAAGGTAACTAGTACGGCGTAACAACACTATTTGTGGAGGATTATGCTTAAGGAGGCTGAGCGCATCCCTTTGTGAGACGCCATCTGTGATTCAGTACAGGGTACAGTACATATTTACCTTATGGAAGGGTCATTTTCAGTTTACAGAAAATTTGGCTTATGGATAGGGTCCAGGAACAGAACCTTTCCATAAATTGGGGAGTGTCTGTACTGTATAACCATTAAGATTGGAGGCTCAGTCATAAGGTGCCCCAATCTTAATACAGTACTGTACGTCCCAGCACTAGTGGGTTATATTAGGTTGGGGCATATTTGGACTGGAGCCCTTATAGCTTGCCACTATATTACAATATAAATTCCCTTCAGTATAACTGGGTGATGTATACAAGTATTATCATCTAGATTCAGAGAAAGAAAACTATCATACACAGTGTTGTATGTTAACGCCGTCAATGGATGGCGGCAAATTTTTGTTACGCTACCGCCATAATTTTTTTTGGCAGGTGAAACAGTCAACTTTTCACCCGAGCGTCAAGCGTCAATTGTTTCGTCAACTAATAAAATTTTCGATTTTTCCAAGTTCAATTTTCAATTATCTTATTATCAAGACGACCAACAAGGCCATGAGGGAGTTGTTCATCAAATACAACACCCCCATCCCCTCTAGTGCTGCCGTGGAGCGCATGTTCTCCATGGGCAAGGACGTCTTGAGCCCCAAGCGCAGCAGAATGAACGACAAGCATTTTGAGATGCTAGTAATCTTGTGGGGGAACAAATGAATAATTACAATAATAGAATATAAATCATAATAAATGATTAAAAATTAATGAATATTTTTTTTATTTTGTATATGTTACTCCCACACACAGGAGAATATGCGTTTCGGGGCTGTATTTGTACGTCACTGAGAACTCGTTGACGCTAACGCCGTCAATTTATGACATCGTTTACGCCGACGGCATCAAATTTCTCTGCCGTTTACGCTACTTTTTTTCGTTGACTCGTACAACACTGATCATACAGTTAAGTAGAATTTGGTAAAGAAATTTATTGTTCTTGATTTTGAAATAATTTGTTGCAGCATATGTTTCCTGGTACCATTTGCTCATAAGAGGACAGGGTCATCTTATAATTCTTCTCGAGTGAAAATTTATCGTATTTGGATGTAACCGAGAGCAAAGGAAAGTAGGGAGTCTTAACACCTAGAGTCAAATTAAGATACAAATATAAGACATTAATAGCAAAACCTGCTAAACAATGACAAACAAATCGTAAATGTTAATTTTACATCTCCTTCATGCTGGGGGAATATAATGTTTGATGTAATACTATTTATTTTCATGTCCTGTAATAATATGTTGTGCTCAAGTGACTGTACTGGTAGTATCTTATGTGATACTGATGACAAGGAAGCAGCATGTCAGTTTTGCTTAATTCATAGAAATATAAAGATTGATTTTGTACTCTGCAGCATTCAGTGAAGCTGTGAAGAAGTAATTAATAAAGCAGTTCTATTTCCTTGTTTCACTGATGGCATTGTTGCAGCTTTAGATTTTTTAGAATGAAAGTATTGATTTATTTTTTCTTTTCTTTTTTTCTCCCTGGCAGAAAGGGTTAGAGGGTTAAGTGACGGTGCTGTCCCTCGTTTGTGTGTGTAGACGCGTAGGCAAATGGTTTCTGCCCAATAACTAAAGTTCTCTTAGATGCATTACAACTAAACTTAAAATATCAGTACATTACACACACCCTATTGATCTTGACCTCTGTTGTAGGATCAAGTTTGTTGTTGTTGATGGATTTAGTTGTGTACATGTGAATGATACGAAATTTGCAAAGGCTTTTATTGTGTCTTGTTGTTGCTCTATGTATTTGCACATTAAATGCACCGTCCTCTAAAATTGGGAGAGATCTAAGTTCTATTATTTAACTGTACACATTCTGTCATTCAACATACTGTACTGAATTATCAATTTTTTTTTACTTGAATTACAAATCTTACCGGAGAGACGTTGAGACATTCTGTGATATTAAGAAAGATGCGTAGGCCAAAATTAGACCCCATTAACCTTTTGTCCCTAACTATTCAATACCCAGCAATAGTGGAACTAGTTGATGGCAGCTGGGGTGAGGGATGTGTTCAGCTCGTGTTTCTACTTATTAACAAGCTTGCTGCTATGTGATAAAGACACTCTGAAATATATTAATTATGAATGATAGAAAAAATCCCCAGTTTACTCATATAACCTTTCAGTAAAGTTAGTAAGGGCAGTTCCAAAATACTGTACAGTAATTATATAGCTATTAGTTGTCGTTTAAGATTCATTGGTGTCAAAATCTTCCCTGTTATTTAGAATACTTTTACATCATTGAATCCCCTTATTCATGAGACTTCAGCTTCCCATACAAGCGAGAATGGAGGAATGGTACGTGATAAAGACGAGAACTCAAATTATTTACGGTACAAGGACTTTCTCCTCAGCGATTCCTTCCGTTCTCGAGGTTTTTGTTTTCCATATTGCACAACGTGTGGGAGTGGATGCAATGGTGGATTAGTGGAGAGAAGAGTGTACTGTATGTTATGCAAGTGGTTTTTCTCCAATTTTAAACTTAAGAGATTGCTCAGATGACCCATGAAAAATGCTCATGTAGATAGGCAGTTCACGAGATGTGTGTTACCTGAAGTAACAACAGGGCTACAAATATTGGCTGTTAACAGCTAAGCTTCTGCTCAGAATAAGTAAAAAGAACTTAGTCAAAGTTCATAAAATTAAAAAAAATTAAAACTGCCCCAAGGTTATTACATGCTCATAACTTAATATTATTTGCATCCTGTTTCTTGGATCAAGCAATATATCTTCACTTATTTGAATTTTAATACACAGGCATAATTCCTTTTACTCTCGAAATGATATTAATACTGTACCATTATTCTTTCAGGTTTTATATAATTACAAAATAATTCTCATTTGTCAGGGCTATTTTTTACACATCTTAGCTTGGCTGATATTTTGGGCACCTGCAGCCATATTGTGATGGTCGAGATACTTTAAAGAATTCTAAGCAATAATATGATGGCTGTCAGATACTTTAGTTAATTTAAAGCAATATTGTGTTGGTTGGCAGATACCTAGAGAACAGATAGCCATATTCTGATGGTTGTTTGACAATTCTGGAACTTACAGCTACAAAGTGATGGCAATTATGAATTTAAGACAGCAGCCCAAGTGCTAATGGTGTCCAGTACAGTATTGGATACTTTTAAATCTACTCAGTTGGTGCTGTAGGACAATGTACACTCACTCCAAAGAGTACTGTATCACACATCACAAGGGTTAACAGGTGCAGAACCCTTTTGATGAATAAGGATTATCTACTTACAAAAAAAATTTATTCACTTATTTCACACTGCAGCCGATTTATTTCAATGGGTTTGGGTATTGCCAATCTCCAACAGCTAGAATTCACCCTAAGAATAGACCTACCCCAGCCCTACCCAACCTAACACTCAGCATCCATAACTCAGGGTTGTTCATGGGCATACAGGGAGATTTTCATTCCATCAGGTGGCATTTGTTACGAGATACTCAAAAATATCGTTGAATTTTAGTTTATAAGAGTCGGTGCATATCAGACCTTTCCTGGTGTTTAATAGTAACGGTTAATTGTGTTTAGATCATTCATAATTCTTCGCTTGGAAGATTAGTGCAGTGCTTATTAAAATTGGTAATATTATTGCAAGTAGAGTACATGTGTTAACCCATTGTGTACAGGGTTGCCTCTGTGCTGAATAAAATCGTCTGCCCTTAGCCAAATAAAATATTAAAAGTAACGTCCCCATAGTCAAGGGTTAGTGGAGATCGTCTACCAAAATTTTGTGTACAGGGTGACGTCTGAGCTGAATAATGTTGTCTGCCCATAACCAAACAGTGAAGGGTTTAAATTGTTGTAATGATCACTTGGTAAGGAATCCTTCGTTCCACACAATGACAAAAGGATTCCACTTCATATAAAGCCAGATTATAATAGTATAGTCCTTACACAGTGAAATATAGGATACTGTCTCGAGTCATTCGTAAATTTGTTAATGAATGCTTTTATTTTACCCTTGACTTTTTATATTTTTCTTTGTACCCCAAGTTAGTGAACTTGTATCGGATACTTTAAAATTAGTGATAAGATCGAAAATGTGAAAACTAACTAAGGCAAGATATGTCCTTAGCTCTTATACTTTTTGCCTGATGAAAAATATATTACATGCTTTGATTTTATTTGTAAACTCAGTGTAATGAAACTTGTATGGTTATCAACATAGCTTGAGAAGAGGTGTTTTGCACATTTTTTTTTTATTGTAAGCTTTACCTATGGCATTTTAAGTACAGGTGTCAAACTGTTTTACAAACTTATTAACACGTACTGTAATGCCATCCTATTATTATTTTTATGCTTCCACTATGCAGCAGATGGGATAAGGTGTTTTGCTCAAGTGTCTCTGTCCGTCCTGAGTTATTATTTGTATTATCGCAAAATATTATAATGCATAACTTGATTTTTTTTGTGCTTAATAATATTTACTTGCAGATGTCCCCAAGTCTAAATTTATATACTTAGGCTATGATGCTTGATGAGTTGTGCTCTCGTTAACAAAACACACAGATTTTACATACGAAAGTTTGAATTTGTTTTAGTAAAAGTTTGGCATAACTCATGAGCAATGGGTCATGATGTTTTGTGTGGTAATTATATTTACATGAAAACGACAGATTAGGTATTTTAATTTTGTTTTTCTCATATAAATAGATTTAAGGCCTATGACATAAATACCATGTCATAAAGAGATTGATTGTTACCGAGTGAATATGCAAAAAAGAAAAGAAATAAAAACAACTGTGACATCATCCTTTTAGTGTTAAGTGTCCAACACCTCTCATCATCAGTCATCAACATCCAAAAGGTGTCATCATCCTGTCATAACACTATATATTCAGTCTATCCTTATAAACTGGTAGTAGATGCCTTCCCATACCCTCTATATACTGTAATATCATAATCTTCTAACCTGATCTAATCAAACCTTAACTTAACCTCCATGTAATATCATAATCGGCTATGTCCTGCCTGTATTGTCATCTCCTTGTATCCATATTGATTCAGTCTGACAGTACTTGTGACCAGAGCAAAGATCTCTTGGAGTTATTGTCACTGCAGGCATCACAGATTGTGGTGTTTCCTTCATTTTTATATGGAAAAGCTTGTCATACTGTTAACTACACTTTTGACTTGTGTCATTTAGTTTCACAGTTATTTAATTTCATAACTCCAGAGTACACTAAAACCTCCTTCATAACTGAAAGAGTACCTTTACACTAAAACCTTCATACATCACAGCTCCATACTTTGTAATCTCACTTAACACAGATATTTTTTACAAATTCCGAACCACAAATGTTATTTCAACCTATTCTGAATTATAGTAAATGTAGCCAAGTGGCACTTAGCATCCTCTTGCCTAGTAGCTGCCAGAGGCAGCATCTGTTAATAAGGGTGGATTTTCCACATAAGCAGAGGTACAGTACATTTCTTCACTCTGACAAACTTTTGCATTTTAAAGTCTTGATAGTAAATCTTGCATCGGCCATGCAGGGGGCATTGTATGTGATCACAATCTGCCTTATTTCAATAAGAGTAAAACCTCTATTACTCTGAATTATGAAGGTTTTAGTGCATCATTCTTCATTTTTCAAACACTATGGATTTAGGACCTTTTTTTTTTCTTTTTTCTCTTACTCTGGAGGCTGTCATGACACCCTGGAGACCGCCACTATACACTAATGTAAACTCCAAAATTCTGTTACATTTTTATGCCCCCTACACCCCTCTCCTCCATCTGTCCGTCCAAAACTATGATTAAAGTGAATGTGTGAAATTTACCATGCACTGTTCCGTATAATTTTGGGTGCTAAATCAATTGAAGATTATATATTTGTGCCTTTGTCAGTATATTTTTTTAATTAAAATTTTGTTTCTTTCGAACAAAAAGTTGTTGCAGGCAAGGAATTCTGTAGGATAATCTGTGTTTTACTTTCAGTGTTCTTGTTATGGGCTATTTTAATATCTTCTGACTATCCACTATACGCTAGCTAGACTCATAAATACAGTATAGTGAAAATAATGTCCTTTTATGGGTCACATCGTAATCTGATACTAAAGCTAACTTTTCTCTGTTTTTAGTGGGAACTACAATATGTCACTCTTACAATATTTTTTTTATCTACTTTTTTTCAATTACTAAAGCCAGCTCATATGAATAACAGTCCTGACAGATTGACTGACTGACTGAGCCACTGACAGAGTACATTGTTATTACCCAACCTACACCACCCAACCTAAGATGACAAAGATTATGACCAAATTCTTGCTAATGTCTTTTATTTAGTTATGATCATAGATAAAAATTAGTAACCAGATGAAACTTACTAATCTTTCTTCACAATGATTTCTCCAAGTACCAACACATTAAAAATATTTTTTTTTCTCTGCTGAGCATTTTAATTTTCCTCCGGCTTTGTCAAAACTTGCTACCCTAAGAAATTAAGTGATTATCATTGTATACCGTATATTTCTCAAGCTTTGTCAGAGATACAGACCTTACCGGTATTTACCAAGTGATCTAACATGACAACAACTCCAAAATGATTTGGTTTGAGAAACTTTACCTTATCCTCTTTGATACTTAACCACTTGGGCAGTCGGTCAGGTCTCTGTTACACACTGTTGGCAAGTACTATACTGGGCATGTACTGGCTCCAGAATGTACAGTTGTGGACAAAAAGAATTCAGCAGCTAGGGAGGTAGGTGGTGTATGGGAGGGTATGGCTAGGTGGAGACTTGGCGACATCGCATATAAATGGCGATTAAAAGTGCGATTTTCCTTCCACACCAATTTTTTTTTTTAAATTATAAGACAAATGCAGCTTACAATTACGACCCCATTTGGTTACTCACGGAAAGTCATGTGAAGCTGAATGCAATCCCCCTCAGACAGCATTATCACCAAAACACGACAGAAGACATATCTTACAAGGTTCAGAACTACTGTACAGACCAGTGGACTTTAAGATGAAACTAAACACATTCCTTTGGGTGGTCTCATCTCCTCACACCAAGACAAAGTATTTTAATATCTACTTTCTTTGATACAGAGTGTAGGTATTTTTTAATATATGGATTACGGAAAAGGTTTTTTATTTGATATTTACTCTTTGAAACTGCAAGGAGACAATTTATTTGAATGTAACAGCTTTAATGGTGACTTATGGTCCTATGGTGAAAAAATTTACATTCCTTATGAATTAACATTTTTAAAAAGTTTGTCATCAACAGAGATGTCAAGTCTGACTGTAAATAAAAGGTTGTTCTCTGAATGAAGTTATCATCAAATGATGTACAAGAACAAAAATGTACCGAGATGCACAGTGTCCCGGATTGTGTGTATGGAGACGTAATGTAATCTATCTCGCCCTGTGTACCGGGACAAAATGTGTCTTGAACTGTGCTTTATTCAGTATAGTACTGTAATTGTTAATCATATATCACTGCACAATAGATTTCCAGCCCATCATAGCACACGTATTTTTTTTAAGTTTTGATAACTTTTTTCTTCTTTGGTGTGTGTGTCTGTGTCAAAGTAAAGAGCATTTCTCTAGAAAATTTAAGTTTTTTGGTTTACTCCTATTCTGTAATTTAGTTTCCCATTTTCTGCTGTATGTTGTTAACTTATTGAGTGGATCTTGTACATACTGTGTTGAAACATTGTACAAATTAATGTAACTGTACTGTACTATATTTCTAAATTTGTTACCACTCAAGAATTTTTTTTTTTTTTTTTTATGAAAATTGCATTTACACGTACTTTATATTGATAACATAATATAACCTAACCTAAGCTAACCATGGCTTCATCGCCTCCAAAATAAAGACAGTCTAAATTTAACAAGTATAACACGGTATTCAATAGACCAGTGACAAATTATCTGATGATGAAATGTTCGCCTATCATTGTTAAGAGTAATCATGTTGTTGAGTATTTGTCTGACAAGTGACACATCAATACTGAACTACAGTACCTTCCAAACAATCTTTATAATATTCATTAGAAATCTATTTACTAAAATGTTCCATGTGGTTGCGTGTCAAGTAACTTCTATTTTACGGTCGACGTACACATGCTCCAAAAGATATCTTTGCAATTTTGTTTTAGACAATATGACGTAATGGACAAAGAATTTTGACAACCCTACCGAGACAACAGGAGTCGTAGAGTTCATTTTGAAATTCATCGGAGTCTGAATAACAAATTATTACCTGCTACTTTTGATATATTCACATTAATCACTGGATACCCTCCATAAAGGCATGTCAATCTGTTAGATTATGCATTGAATAGAAGCTGAGTAAGGTATATTGTGTGTAGGAAAGATTAATAATTTGTGTCCTAAACCCTGAACACACACAGATAAATGACTGGGTATCTACAGTATTAGATACTTATAAAACAGCCAGACAACCCCCAACATGCTGAGATGAGTCGGTACATTACTCTATACTGTTTTGTGATATAATTTTAGCATATTCCTGTTTATTTACTAATTTGTCAGCCATGCCAACGTTGATCTATTCATCTATATACTGTACTGTAATTTTTCTGAAGATAAAACTTTATACATACAGTACAGTCTGTATAGTAGTCAAGATACAAAGACTTATCTATGAGCCAAGTGTTTACTGTAAGAGTCCTCGAGACACATCTGTTACAAGACATAACCACTTTCACTTAACCACATGGAATATTTTTTAGTAAAGAGTAATATCTGATATGTTCCATAGATAATTCAATGTTCTGTAGATTGATTGAATAATTATGTTGTACATTATTAATCAGATACAGTACAGTATAGGTTCAATAATGTGATAAATCTTATCTTAAAGTACAGTAAGTAACATCAAGAATTACACCAAAACAGATTCATCATTAGTGGTTCTGCAAATATATTTATACTATTTCTCAATACAGTACAGTGTGGGAAGGAGTAGTTGGGTGAGGTTGTAAAATTCAGCAGGGTACAGGAGGCCACATAACAGCCTAGGAGCAATTGAATGAAAAAGTGTCCAAGAGGTATTTAACACCAACATTTCATTTTCACCAATTTTAGGGAGAAGGAAATCCATTGTGCAGTGTTAGTTCATTATTCCTAGGTGATAATTAAGTAAAGCATAACTAATTTTTATGATTACTTTCAATTTAATTTAGGGATTCCAGTACAGTACTGTATTATATTTTATCAACTTGATCATCATTCTAGTCATCATTCATCGGCAAAACTATTTTGGGGATTTTCTGTGATCACAAATAAAAACAATAATAATAAATAGCAGTTTTATTCACTTTGTTGTAGGGAAATGCTATGATTTACAATGGCTGTTTTTACTGTGTGAGAAACTAACACTTTACCGCTCATCAAAGAGGGAGTGAGGTGATGGTCAAGTACTAAGCAAATCAAACATTGCACTTCCTGTGCACCTCTGCAAGCAGCACTGGAAGGCAGAATGTGCTTGCAAATGAATTGTTACCATCTGTGGTACTGGTGTCACAAAATGCTGCTTGGTTGACTAATTTTTTGGTTTTGTTTTCACTATTCTTATTTTATTCAGATTCACAACTTTCTGGGAAACCTGATTAATCCTTAAACTGCAACTATGGAAAAACTTGGCTACAGCTGTCTGCTTAAATAACACAGAAAAAAGAAAAAAGAAAATGTATTACAAAATTTTAAACTTGCAACAGAAGTATTGTATGAAAAAGAAAACTTAAATTCATTTAATTTGTCATGTTGGGGAAGTGTGGGACAGACTGCCATTAATGACGATGAATGTGGGTTTTGCATGATGACTGAAGCCCTACTAAGGTGTGGATTGAAGTCTGAGACACGTGGTGTGCTTTATCAACACTGGTCTTGGTTCGCAATTCTAAAACACGTGTGTGAACATTTTGTCATTTGAGAGGCATGTCACAGTCCAGCATGTATTGTACATGATTTGAAAGCCAGAATTTGTTCTCGGTAATGTCTCTGTTCTTGGTAGTGACTCCCACCCTCCTCCATTCTCAGCAGCTGCAACATTTGTTAAATACATTGTATTTTGTGGGGTGCGGTCAGAGTTGTTATTGTTTACATGGCGCTCGCCTCCTGACTGGGAGGTAGAGCGGGTGGGGGTGTACCGCTGTCCCCCGGCTCTGTGCTGGCACTCTTGCTTCCACTACCTTCCCCTTGGATTTAACCCATGTACACCCATTGCTGGGATGACTTCCTTTACAATCACATCTACTAATTGTAATCCAAATGAACTGAGAGGTGCGAGTGATCATGCCCTTGTGGCAGACTAATATATAAAAAAAAATCACTTGGCTGCCCTCTGCTGGTCTTAACCTCCCGGCACTCTCAATCATCCAGCGTTGCCGTTCAAGACAGTTTGACTTGTTTTCTAGTTCTCCTCAACGAGTTGTTGGTGCAGCTATCTCTATGTGCTAACCCTATGTACACTGTACCGGTACCTTGCTATGAATGGTGGATCATATGCACAATCACAGTTCTTTAGAAAACAGACAAAAATACAATAAAACTTTCTTAGTGGCGGCAATAAATGCCATTTGAGACAGCTCAACTTTTTTTTTTACTATTATTTACTTATGTTCTCTTTTCCAGTTCTCATCAACAAATATATCTCTATGTGCTATCACTGTGTACACTGATCTCCCTATGAATAGTGGATCGTAAGCACAATTTCAGTCTGAGAAAGCACACACAAAAGTAAAACTTTCTTTGTGGCACCAATAATATGACTTGGTTAGTGTCAGCAGTGGTGTCTGATTGCTTATCCCAATTTGTTTTTCATTTCAATTTGTTTACCTCCTCCACAGTCACTGTTGTCACTATGGACTGTCTTAGCTAAAGGCACAATACTACACTCTCTGATCGCCCTTATGATGGTCAATCACAGCCATGACCACAACTTATTAAAAATGTTCTGGATAAATCTTGTCAAATGGCAATGATTTTGTGGTTGTATGCCTCCCAGCCTATTCCTCCAGTCAGTAGAATGGTTTTTCAATATACAATCGGGAATAATGTTAAAAATCCTACATCGATTTACAGAAAATCTTGGCGCTCTTATGTAATCACTGTCCAATTGCCGCCATTCAACAACGAAGGCCCGAGTGCCAACACGCTTTGTTACGGAGCTGCAACATGACATGACCCGCACACCTAACACCTGCGCTTTATACATCAGTAAAATTCTTCTGTCTATTAAGTCAGATAATGAAAAGGAACTACTTTCAGAATGATCTGATTTAGTATCAAGTACAAAAATAAGTTAATAAAGATGAAACTAGTGAAATAACAAAGCCAGCGACAAAATATAACCAGCGAGAAGTGGAAAATGTTATACAGCATGGCAGGCCCACTACTGACTCGAGCAGATGCCTATAATGTATGTGATGTCATACGTAACTTTCAAGCAGTGACCGACGCCAAGCTGTACGCTTCCGAGGGGCTGTCTCCACCTTTCAGTCACTCACCTGTGGCGTCCCCCAAGGCACCAAGATGGGACCACTCTGCTTCCTTATGCTCATCAATGATGCCCTAAGAGAAACCACTGCTCGCTGGAAATATGTCGACGACTCCACCATTGGGATCAGCGTCAACAATTCTGCTCCCAACTATACCACCCTTCAGGATTTATTGAACAGTCTCCAAAACTGGGCCACCAACAACCATGTCACCATCAACCATACCAAGACCATGGTTATGCACATCAACCTCTCCTCCGACATTGTCCCACCTCCTTCCATTACTCTAGGTCCAAACACACTCCAGGTTGTAGATTCCACGAAGCTCCTCGGCGTCACCATAGACAACAAACTAAATTGGAAACCACACGTCAGTGAAGTTGTCAAATCCTCCAGTTTCCGTCTCCACCTCCTCCGCCGACTCAAGTCCCTCGGAGTTCCTGCACACGAGCTCCTCAGTGTTTACACAACATTCATACTTCCCAAGCTCACCTATGCCTCCCCCACCTGGTCTTCCTCCCTAAATGCCACACAACATAAACACCTAGAAAAAGTGCAAAAGAGGGCATGCAAGATTATTCTCTCCCCTTCCTACTCCACATATCAAGAAGCGCTCAACACACTGACCCTTTCGACTCTCACTGACCATCACCACGACCTCATCTGCAAATTTGGTAAGAAGCTTCTGCACCATCCTCGACACCGGCTCCTACTACCACCTGAGATCCCTAGTCCGAGAATTGCTGTTCGACACCACAACCGCATCCAGCCCATACGTGCACGAACTGATCGCTATAAGAACAGCCCAGTCCCAACCATTGTAAAAATTATCAATAACTTGTAATAAATCAGTGTATTCACTCCCAGTAAACACTACTCCTTGCACTGTCACTATGTTGAAATGAACTGTAGTTTGAGCTTTTCCCCATCTAGTTATTATATGTCTTATTTGTGTCACTTATGTTACTTGTATATTATTTGTAATTCGTAACCCATTCCCCAAATATGTAACTGTATATTTTCAGCCTTCTGGCTGCCAAGCTCTTTCAATAAACCGTTAATTATTATTATTATTATTATTAAGCTTTATATCATGGCAAATAAAAATGCAATGCAATCTTTTGTTCATAACTTTGTTGTATATTTATTTTTGTGTCTTCTTGCAAGAAAAAATAAAATAATTTTATTTAGACTTTGCCACAGACAAGAGTACAATAATAGAAGGTTAGGAGTTAAGAATCTGGGGTTAAAATGTTGTAATTCAAGAAACTAGACTTTTTAATGACCCTACATTAATTTCATCCATTTTCTAGAAGAGTGGTAATGCATATAACTCTCACCAATACTGTTATCCAGTGTGACCCAACCAAACATCACAGGATTCCTCCAGGAACAGTACTCTGGTTTCAACCTGTACTAACACTGGGCAGACCAACTGCTTGAATGGCTAATAAGTGGTGAAATGATAAATAAATAAAATGGATTTCTATGGGAAATGTACATCCATTAACACAGAGGTTGTCAGGAATGCATCATATACGTTAATGGGACGCTGATCATAGTTTAATTTGTAATCCTGTTAACAATATAGTATTCCAAATAATTTTACCCGAACTAAATTTTTTTACACCAGATCCTTAATTAACTTATTGAGAAAGTCCAAATTGTACAGCTCCTACCCGACTTACGTCCACCCGCACTTACGACCTGCCTCAGTCGTACCAAAATTTGGTCAAATTACGTATTTTCGAGTCCCAAAGTCAGTACACAGACAAAATTTTCATCTGTACAATAATTCACTTTAAAATGGCTGGCAAGCTTCAAAGTGAGTGTTTTGTGGTGCTTAGAAGAAAAAGAGACCCCCCATTTTCGATTTTCTGTGTGTTATTTAAGCATTTCCGACTTACGACCATTTCGACTTACGGCCTGGATGTCGGTCCCTAACCCCGTCGTAAGTCAGGGAGCAGCTGTATTAAGATTTTGGACAGTATACGACTTAAAAAAAATATACATAACTACCTTAATATTAATCAAATTTAATGTATACCTGTGTCTGTATTTTTCTAGAATACCTGTAGTATCTTATGAGATATTTACAATATTTTCTAGAACTTGTACAAGTCTTCTACATCACTTTAGAAGCAAAATGTACAGATATATATTTCACACAACATCAACTGTAATAATTATACATATCATTAATTCATGTGTACAATGAAACACTAAAGTCGTGTCGTGAAATTTGGTGAAAACATATGCCGAAGGGCTAAACTTTTGGTGCGCTCTGCCTTGTGGTAGGGCTCTCATAATGTTTCACAAGTTATATTTAATCTTGGGACAAAATCACGACACGACTTTTGTCTTTCATTATACATAAAAAATAGTAATAACAATACTCATACTACTACTCCCACTATTACTACTGTACTGTACTACTATTACAGGTACAGTACTAATACTGTACTACAACTAATAATACTGTTAACAATTCAATCATTGAACCCTCACTAATATCATAACAATGAGGCTCTGGGTTGATCAAATTACTGCACAACATTCCAAAATATAGAATTAGCAGAACGTATAAAAATAATTGGACATTAATGGATTTTTGCCACAAGCCACATCACAATTTGAGAGAAATTTGTGATTTTTATGAGTCATGTGTTGTAGTGTTTGACACAGGGAAGTTTATCTAAACAAGCACCTAATAGTGATGTAACAATACAATACTGTACAGTACTGTACTATGCTCTGCAGACTTACCTCACTTTGACATTAGCATAAAATTATTGATTTTGCCCAAAATATCAAACTGCAAATACCTGCACAGTATTGTATCAAATTAGTGAGGGTTCAGTGTAATAACAATGATAGTAATATAGTACAATACTTTGTTTTGGTAATTCTATTCATCATTTTAAGTTATTTTATAAAAGTAAAAAAAAAAAAACTAGTAATCACAGATAAAGTAAAAAAATAAAAAAGGTAAAGTTTCTCATCTATGTCTGTTTAATCAACTTCAGTTAGTCTCAAAGTTTTGATTCATATACAATATTCATTTCTTACTTACTGAGACAGACAATAATTTCTTGATTGAACGGGCAGTCAAATCCCATGGATGGTGGACAGTCAAGAAACTTGGTAGAGATATATCACTGTTAACACAGTTGTCTCTGACCTTTTAAGAGTCTTTAAGTGCTTAGGCAAAATATTTTAAACTAAATTAATGGGAGCAAATCTTAACCCATGATGAGCGAATCATAAATGATGCTTAGTAATTTTAGAGTTATTACACTTGGGATTAGTTTGTTGCAAAATAATGATAAATTATTATTAGGCAGTATACCTTGAGTGACAACTGGTCTCTCAAAATAATAAAAACAAATCTCAATCTACATGTAATTAATTCTTACCTTTTCTTCCTCACTGTGTACTCTTCCAAGTCTCTAAGTTGTCAATCACCACCTGCAAAATATAATAATACCGTACCATTAATTATCTGGCGATACAATAAAGTGAGCAGACATTGTGGTACTGAGGGACATTTGGGTGAGGATCTGCTGCTGTGAGGTGATGCAAAGAACAGTTAAGAGAGAACCAAGGCAGAATACGTCATTTACAGGAATATAAATGAATGAAAGAATTTTGAGAGAATGTATGTGTGCGTGCCTCAGGGCCTGATGGAATCCCAGCCCAGTTGTATAAAGCAGGAAGACCTCTGCTTCCCAGCCGTCTCCACTCTCTCCTGGAGAATATATGGAAAAGGAGGAAATCCCCCAAGCTCTTAAGACGCCTCCATCGCCTATATTTATAAGAACAAGGGAGACCGGTCAGACTGTGGCAACTACCATGGGATCTCGCTGCTGCACGTAGCTGGCAAGATTTTTGCCCGAGTCCTCCTAAACAGACTTCTTCCCGAGGCGGAAAACTTCCTCCCAGAATCTTAATGGGGCTTTAGACCATCACGTGGCACCACTGACATGATCTTTGCTACCCGCCAGATACAGGAAAAGTACAGAGAACAGCGTCATGACCGGTACATGGCTTTCATCAGCCTAACCAAAGCCTTCGACTCGGTCAACAGGGAAGCCCTCTGGTGGACCCTCAGCCGTTTTGGCTGCTCCCTAAAATTCATTGCCATTGTGAGGCAACTCCACGATGGCATAAACAGCAGTGTCTTGCACAATAGCATCTAGTCTGAGTTCTTCTCCATCCAAATAGGGGTTAAACAAGGGTGTGTACAGGCACTAACTCTCTTTTCCATTTTCTTGGCTGCCTTCCTTACTCGTGCCAGTGCCAATTTAGCCAGTGGGGTGGACACCAAGTACCGGGTGAAGGGGTCTTTTCAACATAAGACGCCTCCAGGCAAGAACAAAGGTGTCGGCACCTTCCGTTACTGAACTTCAGTATGCAGACGACCTCACTCTTGTTGCTCACACTGAACGTGTCCTAGAAGAGATCCTAAACACCTATGCAGATGCGTATGCACACATCGACCTTGAGGCGAATGTACGCAAGACTCAGATTCTTTCAACCTGCCCCTGGTTCAGACACACCTCCACCATCCATCCATCTTAACGGTACTGCCCTCTCTAATGTTACCCACTTTCGGAATCTCGGCTCCCACCTGTCCACCAACGCTGACATCGATGAAGAGATTCAGCATCGGATCAGATGTGCATCTCAAGCCTTTGACAGACTCCGAAACCGTGTCTTCAGTTGTAGGGAGCTGAAATTATCTACAAAGTTACACGTATATCAAGCAGTGGTCCTCCCCACCCTGCTATATGGCAGCGAGACATGGGTTACATACAGGAGGCACCTTAAGGCACTTGAAAATTTTCACCAACGTACGTCTACGTTCCATCCTCCTAGTTCGCTGGGAAGACAAGAGAACAAATGCCAGCATCCTTACTGACGCCAACAGTAGGAGCATCGAGGCTACCATAAACAATTACGTTGGACTGGCCATGTTACCCACATGTACGACAGTAGACTGTCAAAGTAGATACTTTACAGTCGCCTAACGAATAGTAAATGTAATGCCGGCGGGCAACCGAAGAGGTATAAGGATAGTCTTAAGACAAACCTGAAAAAGTGCCAAATCAACCCCCTCACCTGGGAGTCGGTTATTCCACATCGTAACGCTTGGAGGAGCACCACACGGGAAGGTGTTAATACTATCGAGTTAGCACGATTGAAAACTGAGGCAGACGTGCCAGCGCCGGAAAAGCGCTGTCACCGCCCCTCCCTCACTCGATGTAGCCCTCCACAGGTGCAACATCTGTGAACAACTCTGCCGGCCCCATATTGGCCTCTTTAGTCACCTCAAAACTCACCAATGAAGGTGACATCCCTAATAACTCATATCATTGTATCATAGTTGGATGATCGTCATACTCGATTCCGAGGGACAGCAAAGTAGTAGTAGTAGTGTGTGTGTGTGTGTTTCTTGGTAATGGTCACCCAGCATTATGAAAGAAAAAACTTATAAAACATGCTGTGAGTTGAACTAGCTTAAAATGATTAAAGAATAAGCCTTGTAAATTACATATATGATGTCCACAACAAAAATATCTAAATAAATAAACCAAGTACTGAATTGTCAACTTACATCAGAGGTAATGTCTGCAGGTGTGAAGTTGAACACCTGAGCGAAGAAGAAAAACTCTGCTTCCAAGGCCCTTTTGAGATTTTCAGGGTTGGTGAATCCGTGGCCCTCACCTGTGAATGATTGGCTTATAAAGAGCCTGGCTGACGAGGGAGCTAACTCACAAGACTTAACTCCTTAACTATAGCATTCAATCATCTTCAAAGCTCCCCTCTGAGGTGGTGGCTGTCTATCACTACATATCTTCTATGCCTTATCTATTTTTCTTCTCTCATCCTTTATTCTCTCCTTTATAAATTGCTTCAACTTTTCCTCCCATAGGCAGTCTTCCTCTACCCAGTGGCCAGCAATCTAAGTCCCTGAACATCGTATTTACTATCCACTCCCTTCACATCCTTCTCACATGTCCACATTACCTCAGTGAACCTTCCCTTCCCCACCCCTACGCTTTACAACTTACACCCCTGCCAACTTCTGCCATCCCAATCACCCAATTTAATACACTTCTTCACCCCAAATGCAGCTCTAAGTAAACTCCCCACTAGCTTGATTTTTTTTAGCATTCTTCTTTATTTCAGGTGTTGAATTGATTGCTATATGTTAAAGTAGGAAGTGCTGTATTATATTAACTCTGTTCCTTCATTACCACCAAACTTATTCTTTTTTTTTAATGATATTTCTCAGCTCTCCAGTCGCCCTCCTCCCATGTATTGTTTCTCTCCTAATATCAACCCTCATTGTACTATTCTTAACATCATTCCCATATGTCTGTAACCTTCAACCTTCTCTGGTATTTTTTTCACTTTAATTTGATAAGTAAACAAAGGTAGTGTGAACATTATTAAATCCTGCTGTACCTTGGAAGAGGACAAAGGCAGCTGGGAGTCCTTTACTTCTAACCAACTCATACATGTTTCTCGCCTGACTGGCTGGAACAATCTGTAATTAGATAATGGATTAAAGACCTCAAACTCACGACATAAACATCTAAAAAGAAAATCCAGTAGAAAAAGAAATAAAACGGATTGTACAGTCACCCACAGAAGTCCTGTTACCTCTCCTGCTGTTCCACGAACCCTGAGATTCACACTTGTGAACTCCACGCAGTAGACACCGATGCATTATTCTGTCCACAAATGCTTCAGATTCATGAGTCAAAATCTCAGGGTTCATGTTTCAGGAGGATAATTGACAGGACTTGTAGGCGATTGTGTATTTACAAAATTAATATTTCAACTGTTCACTGGAATCACGTAGTCTTGTATGTTGCTTAATATTGGAGGCTACAGAACTAAACAATCTTTGATGTATACCACACAAACCTAACAATCTCAGGGTAATTTTGTTAAATTTCAGTAGGTTTGGTTGGCTCCTATGGTTTACTTTTATAAACAGTTCAATTGTGTAACATATGAACTCTTAATGTAAACAGACAAAAGCATGTGCTTCCAAAAGACAATCAATATTATTAATTCTGAAAAATAATTTTTTTTCCTTATTCATCCCATAAGATTTACATTCTATACATTAACACAAGATGTGCCCACACCATGCAGCCACTAATGGTGTTTATAGCATCAACAGAGTACAAGTATACTAAATATACTTAACTTGACCAACAGAGACAATCACTCCTTGAAAAATGCCTTAACCTTTGAGAATACAGTAATGTTATTCTTGGTCCTCTTACCTTATCTTCAGTGCCATGAAAGAAGAGGGTAGGAACCTCAAGCCTCTCATAGTTTTTCAGGGGCGACCTGGTGACATAGCGGTCCTTGTGTTTATCTGGGTTTCCTATGAGTGTCTCTACGTAATTCTTCTTGAACTTAGGAATATTGGTGGCCAACATCAATGGATCTGACACACCATAGTAGCTGGCACCTGGTGAAAGAGTTTAAAGATACTAATAATATACTGTATAATGAAATTCTGTATGTGACAATAGAATGCACCATCATTATAACCTTTTATAAAATGTGACAATATGAATATCACAAACTACATGATAAAATCCGTACAAATCCATTATTTTTCTACGCTATTTTGCCGAGCTAAAAAATTAATTAAAAACTGACTAAATACAGATACAAGAATTTTTCTTCTCCTTCAATACTATATCCATCCACTTTATCTCCTAATCCAATTCTCTTCCATTCTCTTTTATTCTTCAATTTTCTTTCCCTAGCTGTTTCTCTTCCCATAATAACTCTCTAGTTTTTATCTCTCCTTTACTATGCCCGTACCTACACTCTCTCTCTTGTAAAACTCATTTTCATTCTTTGACACTTTCCTCTCCTCTCCCACTATTCCTCTCTTCTTTTTATCCCTTCTACTATTCCCTCTTCTTTCTTTCTGCTGTTTTCTGTTTAAAATCCTCCACCTAATATTTGCTCCAGAAGTTTATATTGGTTATAAAACTGTGCTTAATGACTGCTGTACCATATTTTACTGTCTGTCTCAACTGATATATACAATAGTTACTGAAATAAAACTGTAATATTGATTGCTGTATCTTACTCTAATTTTCATCTCAACTGGTATGTACTGTATTGTATTTTGTAGAGTAAAACTGTATCAATGGGCTATTACCTGCCTTGAAGACAGACTCCGCAATAGTGAGGGCAGAGAGGGTGGTGTATGCGGAGGTGGATGACCCGTCAATACACAGCTTGTCGGGATCAACAAGGTTCTCCTGGACTAGATGTTTCGCCCCTGCCAGTACATCATCTACATCGTACACTCCCCACCTGAAGGAAATGTCACCACTTAATCAGCTTACTAGCCTTTTGGGTTGTTGGTCTGTCTAGTGTAAATACAAGAGGAAACTGGAGTCTGGGAAATCAGTGATGTTTGACAGGGTCAGATTGGATAACACCCTTCTCACGTGTGTCTGGGCCAAGCAGGACTCAAACCCTTGACATATTGGTGAGAGATAATGGGTGTTGCCCTGGTTAAGTATAAAATAAACTAATGTATCCTACTTAGCATGTCTTTCACACACAACTTCCTCCAGGAGACAGTAATCAAAATACAGTGAACTGTTAGGACTTTTTCCTTTAATTATCAAATACGAGGAAACAAGAAAGATGGAAGAATGTGAACATATCACAAAATAATCAACAAAGTAATTTTCTTTCTGCAAGCTTTTTCCTGTAATGTTGTACTGCGCACCTCATTGTCATCCCTAAAAACCCGTTTTAATTCATATTACGCTACATAATATTCAAATCCACCGCGCTTGTAGAATCTCAGGAGCGTGTTTATCCTCGCGATCCCTCCCAGTAAGCCCGCCTTTGTGAAGACAGTTATCAATGCGTTGTTTATTCCACTTTCTCCTGGGAAGCTCAATCTTGAATTAGTCTGTGTAAATCAACCCAAGTAATTCGCCAGACCTTTGTCAACTGAGGGTCGTCTTTGAATGAGTAACAGTTAGTTTGTTTGTAATTATTGTCATTGTGTGAGTGGCGATCACTGGCAACTCAGGGGTATATAAGCTCGAGATAGCGAGGAAGCAGCGTTCCCTGACGCTGATTCCCGTTTGTCTCCAGGTATGTTCTGTGTTTCCTAGCCATTCAGTTAATTCAGTCAATTGTAGTGATTATCAGTGTTCACCAGTGTTCATGATTTAACAGTTGAATTGCCATTCACCCAGTGTAGAAGTAATATAACGTAAATACGTCTGTCGTCTAGACAAGAGAGTTTGTTGGTGTTGTCATGTTTCTGGTTCCCTGACGCTGATTCCCGTTTGTCTCCAGATCAAGGGTGGGCTTAATTGAAACCCACCGGTCGCTCGGAGCCGGTGGATACCCAGCAGTGGTCAATATAGGAGTGATGGCGCTGATTCGGCGTGATTAATCGGCTCTACTCTACCTCGTGGGCCGAGGCCCCCAAACCCATCTCGGGTCGGAGTGTAACCGACCACAACAACAGTTGTTAGAGGCGCCAGTGCTATACCCTGGGACAGGCCTTGGAATTATGGTCCACAGTGTGGTTGTATGTGTTTTTTTTACCAGTGTGTTTTATAAGAAATAAATCAATGAAGACATGTTATGGTTTCACCCTTCTTTACCCTTATCGATCTGATCAATGGAAAACCTAACCCAATGCCTAGTCCACTCTGCCCGCTACCTAACGAGCTACATGCTGTCCAGAGGGGGTCTGGTGGCAGCGACCCTTAGACATTAAGATTAGAGTTAAATTATCCCCTTAGATTTAGTGACCCCAGATCTGGCAGTATAATGTTGTAGTGTGTGTGTGTACAACTATGAACAAGAACAAACTTTCCTATCACTTATCTATCTTCATCCATTCATTTTAACTATAAATGTGGTAAACCAAACAGGAAATCACAGCCCATAACAAACCTATATTACATAGGAGCTGTGATATTCAGGTTGGCTCTTATAATCGTTGTCAGTAGATGGAACAGAAGGTGACGGTGCCTTAAAAAAAAACACCACCGTACTCACATTTCATTAAGTTTGTTCCGATATATTTTCCCGTATCCAGTGCTGCCTCGGTAGTCGACATCAAGTATAGCAAAACCCCTGGAGGTGAAGAACTGGTAACCGAGGTTGAGAATGGCCGAGGCAGCACCAGTGGGACCCTCGTGTACCTTCACCAGCAGGGGCGGCTTGGTTCCAGCAGGGGCCTGGTAGTCCTTATTCTGCAAGGCATTAAAGAGACATGTCAAAGAGGTTTCAGAAAAACTACTGCATTTACAAATAGCAGTGAAGGTTAAAGTTAAGGTAAAATGAAAGACAAAAGTCGTGTCGTGAAATTTGGTGAAAACATATGCTGAAGGGCTAAACTTTTGGTGCACTCTGCCGTGTGGTAAGGGGCTCTCATAATGTTTTACGAGTAATATTTAATCTTCCGGCAAAACCGCGACACGACTTTTGTCTTTGATTGTACAATGTGAAGATTATTACCCAATGTATAGATTATATGATATTTGTTTATATTACTTAGCTACAATATACAGTATCCCCCATTTACTTTCATATGATGCACATTACTATTCTTACTTTGTTAGTTTAAGGCAAAGTCCATTATTTCCCCACACCATGGGTAAAGTTCCAATTTCCTCCCCTGGAGATGTAGCAATACCCACAGGCAAAATCTTTCTCCCTAAAAGTAGTCACTGTTGCTTACCTTAGGCATGTATAGGTAACCATAAGCAAAATCCCCCTGAGTGGTAGGGAACTGGATCAACCTGGCAGTGCTGAGGTAACCAACATCCACTTGGAGGTCAGCAGCACCACTCACCACACGAGTCACACCTGTCTTGACCTCCACCTCCACTAAGCGAGGGTTGCGCAGACCATCTCCAGCCACCACATACACCTGGGTACAGATAATTCAGGTTAATTTTCTCCCTAACTACTGTACTCTATGACTGTACCTATACGGACTGTATTGGCCACTTAACTTTGCAAAAATACCCATTAACATCCTAGATACTTCATCATAAAACATGGTGTAAAGTACCACTTTAAAAAACTTCACTTTATAAATACTTAAAAAAAAAAGTACTGTATAATTAATTTTTCTTGGTGGTTCTCATCCGTCAGAAGAACAGAGGCAGACAAAAGAAAGATTTCTCTAAGAACTGAAGGTAAAAGAGGTGTCAACATCTTCACCACAACACAAGTACAGTAGTTGTGAGAACAAAAACAACTCACTGGTTCTTACCTTAGTGCCGTCCCTAGAGTAAGCCACCCCAAGACTGTAACTGGTGTAGCCAGTCTTGATGACCCGACGCTTCTCCTTCATCAGATCCACAACAGTCAGATCCTGCAAATGGGAAACAGTTACTTAGTGACCATCAGCACCTGAAGTGAAGTAGTCAGTCTTAGTAATTACACTCTCCTTGTTCCCTAAGGTCCATAATGGTCTAATTTTGAAGAAGATAATGAGGGTTATAATCAGCTATAACAATTAGAAATGCCTGTTTTATCTCTCTCTACACTCAACAGTATCTCTTTCAATACACTGGGGTGGAGGGAACATCACATACAACTTTGAAAAAATATTGTACCTCACTGGAATTTAATAAGAAAATGAATTTATTATCATGAGTTCAATTCAGCGTGGGAGAACAAACATATGAACTCAAAGCAAACTTGTACATTATATGGAAGATGTGACCAAGAGTTAAAAGATAATTTCTCAGTATTTAAGCAATTTTAGAGAAATACTGTATGGTGATTACAGGTACTCGACATTATAAATTCACCCATATCAAGAAATAAAATTTACCCGGTAGGCAAATACGATAATCATCTCGTGGAACTTGAGCAATAATGTTTAAGTTAAATACATTAAGAATGCTGTTCACACTTACATGTCCACAGATGACAACTGCTTCATTGCTGCCAATACGAGGATTCACAGCATATGCCTGGCGCCCCAGTCTGCAGAATGTAAACAACCGTATCTTATGACCATTAAGATTGTAAATATCATAGCCAATATCATATGGCTGAATCCTTACACAAACTGGCTGGTTTATATCCTATTAAGTCTAATTTACACTACATTTATCTCACACATTAAACAGATTAAATGCATGACACACCATTGCTCAACAAAAATGACATACTTTATCATCAACCCTGACTCAGGATTAGTGAACTTCCTGATGAGAGAACAGGTAACTGGGTAACACAACACTAAGATGGTTGGGTTAAATAATGTTAAATTTGCACTGAGACTCTACTGGAATTAGAGGTATTCTCTCATCCCCGGCTGGCATGAACCTACCATGTGAAACACTCGAGAATCTATGCCCAGTTGATATTGTTCCTAATTTTTTTTTTTTTAAGTTTGGTAAAGACTGCTTTTATATTATTACTTCCAAGGTATTGAGAAAATCTATAACCTTCCATTTTCAGGATTTCTTTCATTAAGGTTTTTAAATCATTAGGTGAAATAAGTGGAGGTTCCTAATCGTCATGAGATACTTGGTATTCTTGTTTTCTAACTTTATATGACTCTTCAACTCACTTCCACATCGGCCAGCCAACCTCTCTAGATTCTGGTGTCAGATTGATCTCAAAGCCACGGCGAGTAACCCTGTATAAGTTCCACCAGCCGGTCGAGTCGTGTACATAGAAGAGTTCGTTGTTCTGGTCAAATGAGGGCATCATCATGCTGCAAGTGAGGTCAAAGGTCAAATATCATTTACCTTTTGGGTTGGGATGAAGTGAAAGTCAAATAACAAAGATTGTGATGAGATAATAGCATTTATTAACATAGTACAGTACTAGGAGTTATACTGTATTAAGTTTTTCTCCTACACTAATGTCTTTATCTGCTACATTAGATTCCACAACTCCTATACCAGACACTCCACATCTGTTAAGACACCACACCTACTACCTATACCAGAAACTCAACACCTGTTAAATAAGACACCAAACCTGCTACACCAGACACTCCATACCTACTATAGACTACACATGTGATAAACGTACCTGCCATGTTGAAAAAACCTGATGATAGCCAACTTGCCATTTTTGTTCTTAATCTCTGCTACAAACATCTTCGTCTCATCCCAAGGCTTGAAAAAATGGGAAACGAGATTTGTTTAACAGAAGTAGGAAGTGTAGGCAGAGAAAAGTGTAAGAGTCAAATTTTTGTAAAAAGTATTAACTAAGTTTTGGGGTTGCCAGATTTTTTTCATTTCAAAGTAAAGGCCACTATTTTTATTTATTTATTTATTTATTATTATTTTTTTTTTTTGGAGGGGGGGGCAGATGTACTTCATATAAAATAATAGCTATATACCCAGGACCTAACCTACTGGCTCCAGGAAAACCATTACTCATGAACCATGCAGTGTTTGACAAAGTTAAGAAGAAATCTCAGAAATTCAAGAGATGAGTCCAGACAAATGATGAGCAGGACAAGGATGTACCTGTATGCCAGGAACCAAGCAAAGTCAGAGTGTGGAAGGGCTGAAAAAGGGTTTCAGAGGCAGATTGCAAGTGAGGTCAAGTCAAACCCAAAGGCTTTCTACCATTATGCAAAATCAAAATTAAAGACGTGTGGGTGTATCAGATCCGAGAGTTTAAGATGGAATTACACACTCAGATCAGGACAAAGTGGAGGCATTAAAGATTTTTTCCTCAGTCTTCACAAGAGAGGATGTGAATGATCTCCCTCATTTGAGGCACATTATGTTCTCAGAAGAGTGTACAGTACAGAGTATTAGGAATAAATTGTCAAAGCTAAAGGTTAGGAACCTGGGCCTTGACAGCATGTATCCCGGAGTGCTAAGAGAGCTGTGCAATGAGCTTGTAGAGCCCATTAAAATCTTGTTTTGCAGATACATGGACAAGCAAAATATCTTAGTGACTGGAAAATGGCATATGGTACCGGGTATATGAGTCCTATATTGAAACAGGAAGAGAGCCACTTTACAAATAATTATCTCCATTCAGGACTCAGTATGTGCCAACAGTGCGTAACAGAGACGTGACCAACCGCCCAAGTGGCTAATGAGCCCATCAGTGGCGAAGAGGATAAAAGTAAAAAGATTTTGCGATTTTTGAAGTGTATGTTTCAAGACCACTAAAATTCCAACAGACATTTCAAGGACAATCGAACTAGTCAGTGAAATAAGGGACAGTCCTAGATATACACAATGCCCGGCAACCCTATTGCTAAGGAATGTACTGTAGGGTACACAAATAATGTAAGGGCAGATCCATGGGGGGTCCTGGGGTTCTGAACCCCCTTTTCACCAGAAAATTCCAGCACTTCTTCTTTAAGGCAGTATAGTACAGGTACTCGGGCATTTTTGTATAGGAAAGTGTTCACTATTGACTTCAGAATATCCCCTATTATCAAGTGTGCATGGCTTCAAAAAGCCCATAATAATGGTCAGATTTGAAAAAAAATTCTGGGGCATACTGTACAGTACAGCATCCTCCCCAGTTGGGTGGGCTGGCAGCACTCGCCATGTTCCCCCACCCACAACTTCTTGGACCCTCTCCCCATCGATATTTCTGGATCCACCCCTGTAATGACAGTACATAACCAATCACTCACCATCCTCTGGTGGTTCCATTGTAGCCACACAAGAAAGTTACCATCCTGGGATATTCTGGGAGTCGCAAAGTTGTTGGCATACCCCACTAAAACTTCCTCTGTGCCTGTGCTGGCGTCCACCATTGCGATGCTGTACTTTGGCCTTCCAGGCTTCCCCTCCTCTACAGATTCCATTTCCTCCATTACAAAGAATAAAGAATTCCACTGTGGAGAAAAATATGTTCATATGTAACAACCTGGAGGGAGAGGATGGGTGTTGTATGAAGCTCATACAGCAATTCTATCAGCCAATGCTGGTTAAATACAGTATTATTGTTGATAATGATAATAAGTACAGTACTATTATTATTACTGTAATTCTTTAGCAGTGTGTGTTTAGCTTATAAGATGTAAAGTATAAGTCATGTACTGTACAGTAATATAAAAAATAGTACTGTATTTAACCAGCATTGGCTGATAGAATCAGTATATATCATCAGTTAGTACAGTATAAAAATGGTAATTAATGTCCTGACTGTTCAAGCTGTGACTCATTAAAATTGGAGTCTGCAAAATGAATACTATATTTCCCATTATATTATTGTTATAAAGTAACAATTGAAAAGTTATCTGAGGCTGTAGACACCATTCACAATACTAGTTGAGGACAAGGTGTTAAACTAATATTTGCCTCTCCCTAGTGTAAAAACAGTGAGTGGCCAGTACAGCACACAACACACTTGAATGACTTGGTTGGAGTATGAATGCATTTCAGCAGTCATTTTTTATTAGTCAGGCTGTGCATGTTTAAATTGTGACTATGTCTAGCTTTGTCTGACTATGCCTAGCTTTGTCTGACTATGCCTAGCTTTGTCTGAATATGCCTAGCTTTGTCTGTCAATCATCTTGTATATGCAGTGTAGTAGAGAACTCTTCGGCATATTCCTATACAGTACAAAAAAATTTCACTGAGAATCCCCATGGATGGGTTCTGGAACATTAACACCATTTTGCTAATACAGTGAGTTCTGCTATAACGCGTGTTTTGATAACGCGAATTTGCTCTAACGCGATTTATGAATTAGGAACGACATTTGTATAACGCGAACGCTTGTTTGCTATAACGCAATTTTTGCTTACTATTTCTCCAATTTTGTGATACTGTATTAACTGTGAATATAGTAAAGAAGAATATCAACAAGAAGCGTTCTGGTGATAGAATTCCCGGTGATGATCGTAAAAGAAAGGATATAACACTTGAAGAGAAGCTCGATTTTATCAACCTCAAAATCACCCTTCTCCCCCATCAAGTAAGGTGTTACATTTACTGTATGATTTCATTATTAGATATGAATGTAACATTTATTTAGACTGTGCTATCCTTTGTGTTAGGCTAACTACTAAATTTTTTCGATTTCGAGTAATCTGCACCTAACCCTATTTTCTCCATAAGCCCTGTTATTTCTATTACGCGATTTTCTATAACACGATATTTTACAAGAACACAATTATCGCGTTATAGCAGAACTACCTGTACTGGACTGATGTTCTTGTAGAATTGTTCTTTTATGTTTGTTTTCTAACTTATTGTGTTAGAGGCAATTCATACAATTATGGCATATTAACAATGTGGTAAACGGTATATTCGTAGTAATCTCCCCGTTAGCTGGAATAATTGGTGCAGAGCGGTTCCGGGCTTGAAGGATTTCCTGGTACAGTAGTATCGAGATGAATTTTCTCAGCCATGGAAAAAATTGCACATCCACGGAATTTATTTGAGCACCAGTAAATGTCTCTGTGTCTAAACTAGGCATCTTGCATGGAGTACTGCTGCTACGGAGGCTTTACACAGAACTACATAACACAGGTTGTATGCAGAAACAGCAGAGTGAACAAGCTTTTACAATGGCAGCAGATAATGCTATAGCTTGAAGAGATAGGCTGCATGATACAGCAACCTATCAAAGGCATCTCATAGTCACATGACAGTAGTAGCCAATTATAGCTCATGTGCGCACATGTTAGTGCATGATAAATTCTCTTGGAAATTCGTTTGAATGCCCAGAATGGAAAGATTTTTCTCGGAATGCTCAATTTTTTTTTTCGGCTAATGGAAAGTTCTGGGATCAAAGATTCCGGCTAACGGGGAGATTACTCTTCTGTACTTAAGAAGTATATGTGGAGTGAAATATGAGAGTACTGTAGTAACTTCTATCCTCATATACTGTACTGTATACTGTATTGTATTTAACTTTTGTCCTGCAAATCAAATGACATGTTTATTTTTCTCAAGGAGTTTATGGCACTATATTTTTAGCAAGTATCAAACTAACAAGTACAACTGAATTTTCAGGACTTGGTGAATGTGCAGATATTTAAGTTTTCCACTTTGTGAGACTTACCTGAGGGGTGTAGACAACATCACCATACTTCCTACTGGGTGAGTTTGTGAGCTTCACTGGGGTGGCAGTGGGCCCATCCTGACGATAGATGGCCCCATCATCACCATGAGAAAAAAAGAGGGAATTGTTGTAGATGGTGAAGGAGCCACCAGCGTGTTCCTGCAGCTTAGTCCTCACATCGTATTCTCTCCCTGTCCATCGCACTGTCTCTCTCGTCTCTGAGGGAGATGCATGTATTAGTAAAGAGAATATACTGTACTGAACAGAATCTTTTAACAAGAAATATAGAGGTTAAATTGATCACTTTAGCATTGACATTAAGTTGTAAATTATTCTGAATAGTGACCAGGAAAATGTAAAGACAGGTATTTTGTCCTGATCAATAAATACAACTTGTTTAACAAATTATTTACAAAGAAACTACAATACGTACACCATCATTTATATAAAAGGAAAAATTGTGTGCTATAAACTATGTAAACTCGTGTACACTCGGGTCACTAAATATATAATAAACGATTTTGTGCGAGACAATATGAACACGGCTGAAGGATTTTAACAACCAGAATGAGACAACAGGAATAGCATTGTACATTTGGAAATTCATTGGAACTCTCCTTAAAGATACTTTTTACTGTGAGTGTACAGTGCAAACTAATGCTAAAATGGTTTCTCAAATATTATATACAAGCTATCAGAATACTTTAGGTTAGGTAGATAGTTGTATATAGATATTTCTGTAAAATTGTCATAAAACGGTTGATATTGACGAATGACCCGCGGAAGTTATTTGTTTTGCTGTTTGTTTTCTTACTCTATTTTCATCAGTGAGTACTGATATAATAATCATTTCTTGTGCAAATGCTTGGTTTGGTAAGATATTTAGGCGCCTAAGGTGCACTACTTTGTCTTCCCGGCGGTAATACAGCCGCGCTCTTAGCCGCACACCTCTTTCCCGTGCCAGTTTCATTTGCAGCATGGCGTGTGAACATTGTCGCTGGTCTTATATGGACTAATTTGCAAATTCAGGGAGAAAGAAAACCAGACCACAGGAATCCATGTGCTTTCAGACCAGAAAGGAATTTGTTCCAGTCGATTAAGAAAATTGTTTATAAGAAAAACAAGCGGCTGGAGCATTGTGGCTACAGGTCTTGTGCTTATAAAGGAACTTGGCTTGAAAATGCCAAGATTAAATCCAGTATTGTAGTTTTATTTCTAAACATTCTAAGAAAGTTCTCTTCACAGCAATACTGTGAAATTGAACTGGGTTTGTGAGCAAAGTCTGTTGTATATGATGTATTTCAAAACACTCCGCCGCCTGGGGCTGGATCAACGGATGGCTGCTCTCACGTCCACAAAAAACGTAAATTTACACCATATCATAGTAAGTTCTTTAATATATCAGAGGGTCTGGCTAGGAAGTTAAGTAAGGTTAGGTAGGTTTGGTTGGTGAGGTCTGTTTTTCCTATCAACTAGTAGGGTTAGGTTAGGTTTAATTTAGAAATAACCACTTTTTAACACATTTGCACAAACTACAACAGTGTCCACTATAAAACACAGTGAAATTGTGCCGTTTTTATAATGGTTTTCAATGAAAAATTGACCACATGTCAGCCGTCAATAATTACCCATAAACTTTACATTGTTTCAACATGTACTATATTGATAATGCAGGCATACAGTTAGAAGAAGTTCAAATAATCAATCACTAGTCCAACTACCCAAAGATGAAATTACCATGAACAGAATGGCATAAACAACTTACGAGGCAAGTTTGACGGAAGGAAACAGTGCAGGAACACATAACAATAGTAAACAGTAAGTAAATACAGCATGATTAAGGATAACCACTCGTCACAACAAAATTCACCTCTTACCTAGTTCACATATAGTTCCTGTCAGGTGAGGGGCACAAACTTTGAGAGTGAGGAATAAGGATGTAACACTAGCAGCTAGGAAGCTCTGCCTCATAACACACAACTGTCATAGTACTGAAAAGTTGGCGACTCATAACACCGGTCAAAGAAAATGGGCAAACGATAAGGGGTAACTTAAGTATTTGCCAGCAGGACTTTTGGAAAACATATCTCTCGTCAAATAAGTCTTGGTTAACGATGGTAAAATTAGTTAAGATAAAATATATAGCATGTTTATTAAACCCAAGGACATGCCAAAGGTAAATATTGTATCCCAGGCAACCAGCGTCATCTGTGGTGAAAAAGGAACACCAAAGCCTTCGTCTCAGCGTCACACTCGGCACTGTACTTTAAGTATTAACACTAAAGTAACTTTATTCAGAATCTTTGTTAGCCAGAGCAGCTGAGTTAAAACAACTTGAGTAATAAGAACGGTCCAACTTAACACACTTACCAGGGTTGTAGTGAAAGACTGCATTTCGGTAGCCATCCTTACTTATTTGCTCGCACCAGAACACGTAGCCTGAAAATATTGTATTCGTTGCTCGGTATTACAATTGTTGTATAACTGCCAGCTTTTTTTATGCTAATACTTTTATGAGTTACTGAAATTTTGCTAGAAACTGGCAAAGTACAGAACAGTACTGAACTGTATATTGGTATGTGACTACGTGTGTGTCTACTGTATACAGTATATGACAGAGAAAGACAACAAATAAAATAGTTCTAAAACTACAACAAATTAACAAAGAAGCTATATTCCAGAACTCCATATACTGTATATGGAACACTACAAACAATTACCCCTAGAATGCATCATCACCTACTGCTAGGCGGCTTAGCGGTGACGTGTTAGCGACATCACCACGTTATTAGTAATGGGTAACGTCAAGATTCCTACCTGTGACGGGGTCCACCTGGGGTGGCTCCGCGATGACGTTCGTCGGCGTTACCACAACGTCACTGGTGATGGGTGATCTCCAAGTACCGTAGGCCGCCTCCTGGGAGGACTTAAATTCTTCATCCTCCCAGGGACTCTCCGTACCGATGGTAAGTATTCCTGGGGAGTCCTCAGTGGTGCTGTGGATCTTTAGGTCGTATCGGCCTAAGCCTATGACAGGATCGACTCTTTCGATGGGCGGGAGTGTTGGGATGAACATCTGGGGACCAGACATTTAGAACCAAGTGTGAAGGTATGCCCTGCATCTCCCTTTCTCCCTCTCTATCTTTATGTCTGTCTGTCATTTTCTCCCTTCATTTCTTTGTATTTACGGTATCTCTTCATTAGGTTCTCAATATCCCCAAACCTGAACATAAACTAGTAATAGAAATGGTGTCTTGACCCACACATGAAAATATATATATATATACCTAAAAGTCGCTTGATATTTTTATTGCTCTCGAATGGTAGACCCTGCTGCCATATGGCATCACGAAAATTGTGACCAAATCCCAGGTTGCTGATCTGACTTTCTGCCTCATTTACACACAATTGCAGGGTCTCAATTGTTTCTCTTACTTGACAACACAACATATGCTGTACATACATGTATAATGATAAAAAAATAATAATAATAAAGAACCCTAAAGAAAAAAATCAAGAGTGAGAAACGATATACATGTATGTAGGCCTGCAGCATATGTTGTGTTGTCAAGTAAGAGAAACAATTGAGACCCTGCAATTGTGTGTAAATGAGGCAGAAAGTCAGATCATCAACCTGGGATTTGGTCACTAGATAAGAATATAAATGTCTCAGAACTAATTAACCTGAACAAACTCACATCGTTGTCGAGTCACTCAACTGAAGAATAGCCCGTATGATTAGTTTACCTGCTAATTAAACACCCTAACGCTACCTGGGGGTTACGTAACAGGTAGGTTGTTAGGTTAGCGTTAGGGTGGTTAATCTATAGGTGAAATAAGCAAAGCGGTCTAATCTTCAGGTGATTCTCAGTCTGTTTTATAGTCATCACAACTAAGTATGCAATGAGCTAAAGTACATAGTGTTCTGTGTCGTATATGAGCGGTACACACACCTGCTGGTCAAGATTAAGCACGACGACCCCCTCAGTACTAGTGTTGTCATCCTGGTGGTAGTGTTCCCCTACTGCTGGTGCGAGAGGCGGGTTGTCATGCAGCTGCGGGCGTGATGGGTGGAATATTAGGATCAGTGACAGGAGAAAGATGGACCCATATTTATCACCTCGGAAAGATTGGATCGCCTGCATATTAGACATCCCAGTTTATTTTATCCGAGGAAATAAGTTGGGGTGTCTAATCTTCAGGTAATCCTGTTTTTAATTTAATTTAGGCGAGTGTAGTATAGTGGGGACATAATTAGATATACATATGTGGACACAGGAGATAATAGACATACTACGCAGGAAAATGGACATGGGAGTATGAGAGTAGCCAACTGTGCACACGAGGGTGATGAACTTACCAGAGATTCAACACTCGGAAGTAGACACAGGAGGAGGAGGAGGAAGTGTACCTCTGACATCCTCATGGCGTCTACTAAAGGATACTCTGCTTCAAGATGCGTCACGGAGCCTACTGGAAGAACTAATGCTTGATATGTGTCACAGAGTGTTCACTGCAAGTTAGGTTAGTTGAGTTTAAGTATGTAAAAAGATAAATCACTCCCACGCTAACACTCAAATGGGATATTTTTTTGTTAAAATTCATCGCTTCGTTAACTATGTAAAATGCAAAACAACTTATTTTGTAAATAAAAATAAACACGGATAACTGAGTTCCTTTTCTGTTGCCAGTTTTAAACAATAATTTTGAAATTAGTGCACATTGAAATGGTAGTTTATTCGTTGCTCACTCACTAATTTTTCACCTTATCACTGTCACGTTCCAGTTTTATGGCCATGAAATAAACACAATATATTTCACGGTAAACTATATACCTGCCAGTTCAAACTATTTATATTATAATGAGTACAATAGATAAACAAACTCACACCTTTAGGTTACCTGTACAGTACAATGTTTGCCTCTACACAGGTGACACAACGCTTCGCCTCCCACTACCTCATTCACTCCCGTTGGTATGACTGCTGGAAGACAACAAACACAATAAATTACCAACGTTTCATATTCAATTACAACTTCTCGCACGCCTTATTACAAGCTTGCTTCACTTGTGATTAACAGTATGTTTGATTTCTTGATAATATATATAATGTATTCGATATAAAACGACAAATGGTGATGTAAATAAGTAGAGAATTGGAAGTAAGTTTTTAAAGGAAATGTTGGCAACGCTGACGTGACCTGAAGGGAGAAATTCACCGCTAGTCAAGACCTAAATACAGGAAGCCTGCCCTGAGGGTGTGTGTGTGTGTGTGTGAGTGTGAGAGTGAGTGTGTTAGTTTATAAAAGTTAATACATATATGAGTATAAATTTTTAATAATAATAATAATAATAATAATAAAGATCTATTTCCTTGAGCTGGGTATTTACCTAAACTGACCTAACCTAACCTAACCTAACCTAACCTAACCTATTCCCCCAGGTAACGGAGCGTTTAATTAATAGGTGAAATGATATAAGGTTACGTAATCCAAATCAATGTGCAAGTTCACATTGGTTCAGCCTTTATACACAGACAATGTGGGAAGGGGGAGGTAAAGAACATGTTGCTTACAATAAGTGATAAGGCAGGTTTAATGTAATTGAACCGTAATAATATACTTTCAGGTTTGGTCGAGGAATTCCTACAGCTTTATGTTTTCTTTTAAATTATAAAAAAAAATCTGAATTTTGCAATAATTTTCTCGGTCACATAAAAATTAGACACCCCAGCTTATATCACCTGAAGGTTAACCACCCTAATGCTAACTTAATCTAACCTATAACCTATCCTGCTCTAACCTATTCTACCCTAACCTAAGTTACAGTAACCTAACCCAACTTACTCTGTCCTAACCAACCCCCCTTAATTAGGGGTAGTTAATATTCAGATGATATATGCTAGGCTGCCTAATATTCAGGTAATCCAATTTTAATAGCATTTTAATGCCTCAATAATTTAGTGATTATTGGTGACGCAGTTTAAGCTATAACGTTGTTTTCAGGAGAGAGAGAGAGAGAGAGAGAGACTACAGATGATGTGTGTAAAATTAGTCATTTCAAATAAGCCAACATTCTACCTCCATTTAGTACTGTTATCTAACAAATATAATTCTGGCGTATACATAAATTATATATGTTGTCTAAGTAATAAAGTGTGCTTGTGCACAATACGTGTTTTTCTTTCCCTAAAAATGGATATAATGGAATAGAAACACATCACTTGTGAAATAGGAGTGGAACCAAACCAAGATCTTAACTTATCTTAATCTAACCTAACTAAATATAACTTAATTTATTGTGACCAAAACTAATTTATCCTAACCTAATCTAATCTAACCTAACCTTACCTACCTAACTTTTTTTTTACTTTTCTAACCATACCAATATACTCGGGCTTCAAATAATCATTAAATCCATTTATTCTTATAAATGTTTTGGGTTAATGTTCGTCAATTGATTGTCCACAGGTTTCCAATTTTCAATATTACAGACCAGTGGCGGCTCGTGCATAGGGCTGCAGTCCCCCCGACACTCACTGCCAGGCGTATGATTCCTTTAGAGAGACAGCTGAATAATACACTACCAACAAATATATCATTTTATATGTTATTTAATTATTTTCAATACGTTGCTAAGTGAATTTTCATTAAAATCAGACCAAAATTTAAGTTACTTTCATAGTTGCTGTCAATGCTGTACGATTCATTTCTGTTATTAATTGGCGCCGCCGCCGCCGCACTTGAAGCAGCTCAGTCTCGTACAACGTGTGAACGGTGTGGTTAAATCGTGCTTTGTGTAAATCAGAAAGTCTCATAGACTTGTTGGAGATGATGAATGACAATAATCTACAGTCAACATTTTCAGACACTGTCAAGTTGCTGAAAATTTTAATAACAACTCCAATGACAACGGCAGAAGCAGAAAGGTGCTTTTCAACTTTGAAGAGAATTAAAACTTTTTTGCGCAGTACCATGGTGAATGACAGACTGTCTGCTTTAGCAGTGATATCCATTGAAAATAAAATGATAACAGAAATAAAGGATTTTAATGAAATAGTAATAAACAATTTTGCTACATCGAAGAGCAGACACGCCGACTATATTTTCAATTAATACTGGTCCATCACCACCAACACTACTACCATGCCCTGGGAATTCGTGGACATCAACTACAACTCATACCTGAGGTAGGTCAAATTTGTGTATCCTACTGTTGTGTGAGGCTTGCAGTCCCTCCATTATATTTTTCACGAGCCGCCACTGTTTCAGAAACAAAGACTAAAAAGAAACCGAAACATACTATTTCAAAATCATTTCTTGTGTAAATCAATGTTAATGGAGTATGTCACAAATTTCTACTCGTATATTTCTGTATCCGCCATGATTGTCTCTCAAGGTGTCCTACCAACATCAAGACTGTGGTCCGTAGTGTGGAAATTTTTCAGTTTTAAGAAGACAGAAATTACCATCCTCTACCACGTCCTTCTCAAAAAAAAAAAATCATATTCCTATTTTGCTAATAATCTGTAACGTAAAATTCGTTTTGTAAAAATTGGCTAAAGTTCCATTATGTTAACTTTTTTTATTAAAATTTCTATAGCCAAGGTTAATTTATTTAATATAACTCTGTCCTGAATTACCTTAATGATATTTTATACATAGTTTATTATTATTATTATTATTATTATTACCGCCAACCATATCTCGAGAATTTTATCTTTGCAATCAACATTTCGGACAATTCTTAGACACTTTTCTTCTATAACGTTTCCCTCGCAAATGACCTGAATTAATATTGTTATTATTATTGTTAAGGTTAGCCATTTAATTAAAGCAATATACTGAAACAGCTGTAATCTCATTCAAAATCATTTAAGTTCCGCATTTAAATTCATTCAAGCAACTGTTTATTTATACCCGTTTTCTTTGTTTTTATCAAAGAAAATAATTTTATTTTATTGGGAGACTTCTTTAACTTTTTATTCAGGTTGTAGGATATGGTAATTATTTTACTTTAGTGTATTTTATTTTATTTTGTTCTCTTCGCCACTGATAGGCTTGTAATATCACTTACCAGTGTTATCACTAAATTATTATTCACTAAAATTATCATAGGGTTGACCTTAAGCATTAAAAACTAACGAAAATAATTAATTTTATATCATTAGTCCTGATAATCTAGGAATGGCCAATGCAAGCTGTCTGTCACGCTGGTGACTCCCTCAGAACATTAGCAGCGTACCTTCAATGGTTAAAAAATTCTAAAGGTCGCGCTCATCTCCCAAACGATCAATCACGTCTTAAATTATTATTATTTTTTCTATCTAACACCTTCTGGCGATGGACGCTGATCATGTACAACCCTGACAAGCATTCAGTTGGCATCGTTGATCGAAGCCATGTGTTGACACGTCTCAGTGTGCTAAATGGCCGCTCTACTTCACAAGTGTAGGCTGGAAGGATCAAGATCAGTCGGGCTTCTTGAATAGCAGGAAACAAATGACACCGCTTCAGAAGATCCGTCAAGGACAAGGTGGCACCGGAATCAGATGCTGTTTTCTTCTAGGAATGTTGGCGCCATTATATTCATTTGTGAATAATAATATTAACAAATATTATATAGTGTTTATAATTATGTGTCGTATTGTATTAGACAAATTGTGTAGTTACTTGAATATCATACACAATAGTTATATAAGACACAATTAGTTATGTTACAATATGCAAATTAATTCAAGATAATTCCCGGCCGAAATAGCTGAAAGGTGAAGTGGCCAGTAATCTCCAAACAAGCCAAGATAATTGGTAACTAAACTAACTGTTAAATAAAACACATATTGTGAACAAGGACTGCAGACGCCCATACCCACAGATGGAGAGAGATAGAGAGATAGAGAGACATAACACCCACTCGTCTTCCGCCCACTAAGAGACACACACACACGTACACCCCTGAAGCACTGTTAATGCCACTCATATTTATCAGTACACGAGGATGGTGAAGAAGACAAAGGGAAGGATAACGTTAATATTTCAATAACCACTGTTGATTAATGTTACGCTGTAGATAAAACAAGATTAAAACGTGTCTTTGGTGGAAGAGAAGAAATGGTTTAACTTTTGATTGATGCTGGTTTTAGAATTATATGTACTTAGTGTTATACATATATCACTGGACTGGCAGGTGGCTATCGTAGGTTAAACTTGACTCAGTGATGTTCTTGATTTACTTGAGAGAGAGAGAGAGAGAGAGAGAGACTTGTTTTGTTTAATGATAAAATTTGTCAAGAAGAAGAAGAAGAAGTGATAAACAATAAATGAACACATATCCAACACTTAAGAACAAATAAAAATACAAAACAAGAGAATAAAAGAAGAACTAAGAATAATCATAAATAAAAAAGGTCTAGAATTGAGTTAAAGAGGAGAAAACAAACAAAAAATAGATAAAAGGAAGAATGAAACTATAGAAATATACCATTAAT